CAAAAGCCCCCCCCCCGAAAAAGGGCGTTCCTTGGCCCCGAAACCCCAATTTTTTTTTCCGTTTAAACCCCCCCCCCCCCCCCCCCCCAAAAGATTTTCCAATGGGTTTTTCCCCCCCCGGGGCCCAAAAAAAACCGGCCTTTGGGGGGTAAATTTTTCCTTTTTTCAAAAGGCCCAAAAGGTTCCCCTGGGCACCTGGGAGTTTGGGGGGGAGCCCCCCCGGGGGGGGCCCCCCTGGGCCCCGGGGGTTTTGCCCCCCCACCCGGTGGACCCCCCAAAAACGGGGGTTAAGACAAAAAGGGGGGGGGGGGGGTTTTTAGGACCCGGGTAAAAAAAAGCCTTTTTTTCCAAAAGGTTTTTTGTGGGGGGCCCGTTTTCTCCCGGGGGGCCGGGAGGGGGAAATTTTTGGGCCCCCCCCACACCCCCATTTAGATTTTCCCCCAGGGGGGAAATTTTTTGGGCCCCTTTTTTTACCCCCCCCCCCCCCCCCCCAGCAACCACGATGTATGCGCACGGTTTTGTTTTCGAGAACACTCCAGGCCCCTAAACACGACTCATTCGACCGACCAACCGCATTCGCACCCGCACATTCCGCCGCACCGCTCACACTTCCGTGAAACAACAGCGTCCCAGGGTCGTTAGGTGGGGATTCCCCGGGTTTCCTAAAGTCTGCATCCCTGGTGGCGGAAGCGGAGGGGGTGACCTCCCTCTTCTTGGGCCTGTTGCCCCGTCTGGTGCTGGTTAGGTAAGAGGTCGGGGCGCGCGGGCGGTGCATTATCGGGGGGGAAATGGCTATTTTTGTTGTTGAACTCGCGACCAATTCAACCCCATTCTATCTGTCCTGTATTGGTGAGAGCGAGCCGGATCCGTACTGGCCGTGCTGATCTCGAAGTGTTAGGAGTGAAACCTACGCTTTGGGCCCACTCTCTGCGCACAGCACGCCAATCCGGGCAACCGCTGTGGGTTTCAAGCCTAGGTTATGACGAGTATAACCGCTACCCTCACTCAACCTGTGCCATTTGCGTGTCCCCCTCCTCTCGTTTCCTTCCGGCCTGTGCGCGTACTTCTTTCCTTATTATGTTTGCCAACATCTCCCCTTTTGCTGCCTCGTGCTCGGTCGTAGCACCGGCGGGGCGTTCTACTTCTGGGGGCAGGAGTTCGCATCTCAGCTCATGAGCCGGGCGGGGTTTTGATCCGAATTGTGATCCATGTTCACGAAGGCTTTGTCCGCCTCGCCTCTCTCCCCGCAGTCAGGCCCACGCCGAAACGGAGCACTCCTGTCCTGTATAGACCCAAGCCTTGCTGGGCCGGAGGGCGTGCGTTTAGCTGTGGTTTTATTTGCCCATCACAGTAACCAACAGTGGTATTGGAAATCGTCCGCCATTTTTACGAACTGGGGTCAAGGCAAAAAGGGACGGGAATCCAAACATTTCCATCTCCTACGTGTAATATTGTAAATACAAATGCATGTCTTGGCCTTTTACCCGTTCCAGACCTCGGAGAAAGTTTTCCGTCGTAGTGTGTGTTACCGCTGCACCTGCTCGTGCCTTGTCGGTACCTGTTGATTGGTGTCCCGCTAGACGGGATGTGAGCTGGTGGTGGAAGGGAGGATTTCTCTTCCAAAGGCTTGCCTTGGCGGCGATCGATGGGTCGTGGTGGTTTGTGTTGTGGTGGGACGGCAGTGTAGGTAGGGTATCAAATTTACCAAGTAGGGAGTAGTCACTTCCGATGTAGGTGGGCTACAATTTCCCGAATGTGTTGCTTCCAATTTTGGCGCAGAAAGTGCAGGCGAGTTTGTATCTCGTGGTGGTTGGCTAGCAGTGTAGACGCTGCGAATATGCCGATTGATATGTATGTTGTGTTTTTGGTCCTCTTGATTCAACGCAGGTTGTTACCAAGTATTAGTGCAGAGTGCTGTTCAGGTTTCTTGCCCAGCTTCTCAGAGGTCTGGGCACTACAAGAGCCGAAGGGTGTGTGTTGTTTCTCGCGTTTTCTTGCTTGTACTTGGGGGCTGTCGTTGCCACAATCTCAATTCGCAGGTAGGACTGTTCTTTGCGCTTCGACGTAAACGAAGGTTGCCCATGCTTATCCGGCGTGATTCGTGGAACTTCGTCTCCTGTCGCCGGGTTCGAGCGAGCGGAAAAGAGGGGGGGGGGGATCCCATGGCAGATGTATTGCAGCTGGTGTGTAGGCCGCCCCGTGGTAATTTGACAACAGAGGGTACAACGCGACAGATTGACCCCGAACTGATTTTCGATGCAGTCTAGCAGGCGTTGGTCGAGCGCTGGTTGTTGTCAATTTCATTTTCGCTCAGACCTACGTGGAGTAAATGCGAAGAACACTCCATTGTTCGGCATGTGCCTGCCAGAAATATGAGTTGAGATGGCGCACAGCCGGAGAAAGCTGCCGCACAGCCGGAAAAGCTGTCGAGATCCTCAATTGATGGTTGTGAGGCTCTCACGTGGTGGTACGATCTTGACTACTCTGGTTTGTTGCCTCGTCGCAGTGGTCAATCTGGAGTCTGTGATCAACTTCGTCGCACGATCTCGCCGATTTCGATAGGATTCACTGACTGGAAGTCATTTCACAACATGCGGAGATCATCCTCGACAAGAAAATCATATTGTGAAGTCATTTTGGAACCCCACTAACTCCCGTAGGGGTATACGCGCCCTACACATGACCTTGAACGGGGGTTTGGACGGCCACGTCGGGAACGGCCACAGGAGGATGCGTGTTTTTCAATTATGGAACGCAGTTCGCTGATTGGTAAAAAAACCTGCGGCGGAGTTTCAAAAAAACAGGCACGACCGAAGATCCCTGGACAACGGGCAGCGTCATCCAGGGTCGAAAGGCCGGGATCCTGGTACAATTGATGGATGAAATGTGGCCAACTTCTATGAAGAGAGATATTTCCAAGGGAGTGCGAAGGGGATGGATCCTCTCGGCTGACTGATCGGCGTTCGATCTTGGTTGATGATGATGATGGTGGATTCTTTCTCATCTATCTTCCGTCTGTGTGTAGTCTACCTAGACTACGGTCGTAGGCTTCGCGAAGTCACCATGTTGTCACTTGTTGTGATATTGGGATAGCAGCAGCCGCGGCCATAGTTTCCAAAGAAATGAACATGCCATGGCCCGCTTTTAGTGATACTGAAGCCAGAAAACCAGGTCAGCTGAACTCTGTTTCCTGGTGATTCCGTATCCCCCCGCACCACCCCGCCGTGACCGGTGAAAACGGTCCGGCTCGAACGGTCGACAGTCTCGCAACAAATAATGTACAGAGCTTGGGGTTCCTTCGTGGCGAGCGCTACATATATCAGGCTCACCCACCCCCACTCCAACCCCTGACACCAACGACGTGGTCGCACCACCGCCAGCCATCGACTGACTTGAGTCTTGCAGGGGTAGGTGTAGCACCACGGCATGGTAAAAGTTGAAGTTTGGATACCAGACGGACGGTTACAGTCATTCTGCAGTCCGACATTTTTTTGCCATCCTCCTTTTCTTCCGGTGCTCGCGCAGTACCAAGCAAGGCATCGCCGTTGTTCACCATCATCGGTAGAGAACACGAACGGGGACTCGAGCGAGCGGAAGGGGCTGGACCTTGATTGACCTATACAAACTCGAGAGGGGTGCTCGGCGGCCGGTAGGGGTATCCGGAGCAGCTGCGACTCTTCCCGGGATCAAGCAAACCTCCTGGCATGGCGGCAGCGGGGAGGTGGAAGCAATGGGCACGGCCGTCCGAGGAGGCAGAGCTTGCTGCAGCTGTAAGTATCTGATTCCGTGCTGTAAGACTGTTCAAAAGCGATTAAAATACGCAGTTATCATTCCGTTCTGGGGACAGAGACAGGTGACAGATGTGCACAATGTGATCTCGAACACATTGGCCTACTCAGCATCTTTCTACCGATTCACAGGCAACCCCCCGTCCTGGTGCTGGGCCGACGTTCAGGTTGTTCCCCCAGTAGACTGTGGGTTTCCAAGGCTTTGCATACACTAAAGCTAAGTCTTCGTTGTTGCGTAACAACTGTATACGGTACGTATGCGGTGCGTACATCCTCGAACAACCGGTTCTTGGGTGGGTAGCACGAAAGCACGAAGTGTGCATGTACACATGGAGGGAGCAGGTCCGTTTCAATCTGGGCCTGACAATAGCATGCAGAACCTTTTCCTGTGGATCACGTGGGCACTTTTAAGGTGGGTTTGTCGCACGAAGGCAGCCGGATTTCTTTTCCGGAAGTCGTCAAGACCGCGTGTTAGCTGACGGGATGCCAAGGGTTCTAATCGGTACGAGACGATTCGTACTCCCGCAGAAACTATTCACCTCTCGCGACTGATTTGACCGTTAGTTCTATTATTGCTGACGTCGAGACTTCTTCGCAATAACTCCGTCCGTTCCGGCTGATTGTCCCGCAGCGTTTGTTACGAGGAGCCGAAGCAGAAGGGCAAGTGGGTGCGGATGCGAGTGCACGCGGCGCCGGTCATCAAGAGAGTGACTTCGTGACGCTCCCCTTGTGGGTGGAAGTGGTCAAGAATGGCCTGGAAACGCGCATCGCGTTCCACGGAGAGTGGGTGTTTGCCAACTACCTACCGCAGGAGATTCAGGTGAGGAGGGAAGAGGCTTGGTATGTGTTTTGCGCGCGGGGGCTTCGTGGTGTTACCCTTGTGTTATGGTTTCGCGAACGACACAGCAGTATTTGCGTGCGTATATCCGTGGTGCAGCCTTAGATTTTAACGCTCGTCTCATTAACTCATCAATCGTGCGGCTGTGTGAAACGACTTTGTACGCATCCCGTGGTTAAGATGGTGCTGCGAGTGTTTTTTTGTGGAGACAAGACGGCACTTTCACAAACAATGTGTTTAATTGCACCCCTTGCCGTTGTGAGCCAGGTGGCTTGGGTGACGTCCGCAGGAGTGGGCAACGCCGGCCGGTGTCTCGTCGAGCCCACAGGAACACGGGAAGGCCTCAGCCTCGAAGCGTGTGCTACCTCCGGACGGGCTGGCGGATCCCTTCACCCATTATCCTGTTCGGCACTCACCGCCTCCTCCTCTTCCCCGGGGGCGGGACAAGCGCACGGGGAGCGCCTCTCCGAGCTCATGTTGGAGTTCCGGTTATCCACTCCCGACGCCGCCGCGTGTGTCGGGTCGGTGGGTCCACCCCCGGTAGCTACCGAGGATTCGGCGGGGCACCCGGCGGCGGCGCGAGACGCTGGTGGTTTTGCCGACGGGGGTAGCTTCGATAGTCGCGGGCTTGACGATGAGCTGCTCCAGGGGCGCGAGGAGATAGAGGTGGACTCGAGCGGTAGCCCCTGGGAGGTCACCCGTCAGTCCGAGTGGGTCCAGGCGAGGCCGTTCGTTTTCCTGGCTCTGATCTCTTGCGCCAGCACAGACCCCGGGATCTCGGGGTTCGCCTTCTGGTGCGTGGCCTCCAGGCAAGCCTCGCGCGCGGCCAATGGCCACCGCGGTAACCTGGGCCAGATGAGAATCGACCTGCACCCGATGGCGCTCGTGTGGAACGGCTCCTCGATACCGATGCGGGCCGTGCTGAAGCACAGGAGCGGCGGTGGCGGGTGGCCGGAGCAGCCGCCTGCTACGCTTGCCGAAGCGGTGGACGAACAAGGTGGGGCTGGGACTTGCCACGTGCGGCGCCTCTGTGCGATATAGTCGACTGGTTCCCGGTCCGTACGCTCTACTGTAGACCATGAAGAATCGCAGGTCCAATGTAGTGGCTTCTCTATTCTACAAGTAACGAGATGTTACTGTGTGGTAACTCACACCACTATCCATACTATCTAGAATATTTCGGGGAGGTTCACAGGTGCCATATATATATACTGTAGAGGTGTGGTGGGTGCTGCGAGGAATTGTTTTGCAGAATAAGTGTGTCCATTCGTTTCCCAAAAGGAAAAAAAATGTATAGATCATGTTTCGTGCTCTCCGCCGCCGCCCGCTGTCAAACACTGGTTCGTGTTGTGCTGCGTGTTGCTCAAAAAGTATATCCTGGTCCGGCTATCACCTCAGGCTCCCTCGTGGCACATCCACCAACACCGGGTGTGGACCGCTCCGTTCGCCTACGGCGGGCCCGGGATATCCCCGGCGAGAGGATACAGGGAGCATCGGTGGGCGTCGACGGGGTCATGCTACGTGATAATCTTTGTTCATATCTCGATAGCGATCATACCGTACTGCTCCTGCTCCGCCCTGATATACTACTTGATGGTGGCGCTTCAATGCACAAGCACGGTTTTCGCGGCTTCATATGATGCTTCGACTGATACACCGAGCTCGGAGCTATCTCCAGCCCACGTGACTGGACGCATGGTCTCTCTCCAAAGGTGGTGGTTGATAAAGTGGTCTGCGTTCTGGAATGATCTCGAGATTGAGATGGGCGTGGGTGCCTTGTACATCACACCTCATTCCCCACGAACGGCTGAGGTAAGAACACATGGCTTGATTGAATTCCTCGTCAATATTCCCCCCCCCCCCCCGTTTCTGTCACAGAGGCTGGCATTCGTCCGCACCCAAGTGGACAGCGAGTAGGATCTATCGTGCGCAACACCATCTGCATGCTTGGATTGGTTTGAAATACACTACGCTTGGCTTTTTCTCACAACCAATTCATGAGCCCACTGAGCTCTGCGCACACAACCACCGTTAAACATCTAGATCCAGATTCCGTGCCAATTCCATGAAGTGACGCAGTATGTCGTGCGGCACCGCAGAACGGCAAGGCGAGAAAAAACGAACCGGACGAGCAAGCGACACAACGGCAAGAAAACGAGCGACGAGGAGCAACGCTCGAGGTATGCGGGATTCTCCAAATTTGTGCAGTAGCAACGGCAACAAACGGCGAGAGGTTAGGGTTACCGTTCCCGCCGGAAAATTACGCAGAAAATCTAGGGGACTACTGTACAGTACGCTCTACGATAGTACGTGCTCTCCGCAAGCCGGACTATTCTTGACCGCGTTTGAGGGGAAAAAATCGAATGAAAGGCGATGGCAGAGCGCCTCTCATTGAAGCCTTCCGTTGCTGCTTCCGTTGTTGGTGCTTTGGCTGTCTCTCTCTCTCCGGCGCAATCGATGAATATGGACATGGTAACGTTCATATCTCCTCAAGTCTCTTCATTTGTTGAGCTGCGAAAGGCGGCCGTCCCGTCTCTCGTTCTAAACCACACAAGTTTGTGGCGTCACCGGGCTCCCAACCCGCACGCAACTTGAACATCTTGAACCCCAGGTCAGCAAGCCGTGGAGCACCATGGTACAGCCCTGGCACACTGGAAGCAGTACGACGGAGATGCATGGAAAAATCGCTTCGCGTGGGGAACAACGAACCTTGCGGGACCGACGGCGGTGGCAGGGGAAACCCTCGATGTCAGAAGTTAGCGACAGAGTAATCCATTACAAAACTACCGGCGGGGGGGATATCCGTGATACCCTCCGAGACGGGCAGCTTGAGTGACGGCGGTGAGACGGGTAGAAACGGCAAGGGTGAAGGCATGGATCGGAGGAGGAGGAGGAGTAGCGCCAGCAGCTCGACGCAGGGGAGGGAGTGCGCTAGAGATAGGCCACCTAATGGTGGTGGTGATGGAGAGACGGCGAGCACGCCGGAGAGAGAAGCTCAGGCCGAGCATGCGGCTGCGACGGCGGTGCCACCGTGCCATCCAGATGACCTCGAGAAGACCGACTCTAGCAGCATCGTACGAAGGGACGGATCATGAATTTTCGTCAGCAGCAGCGGTGGCGGCCGCAGCAGTGATGACACACGGCAGCGGTGTCACAGAAGAGGTCAGGGCGAGACGGGCGGGTGCGGAGGGGAGCCTGGAGAAGTCGGGGCGGCGTACCGGCTACCGTATGGGTTGGGATACGCAAACAGCGTAGGTGACCCGAGAACGATGGAGAGAGAGACATACAGAGAGAGAGAGAGAGAGAGAGAGAGAGAGAGAGAGAGAGAGAGAGAGAGAGAGAGAGACAGACAGACAGACAGACAGAGAGGAGATGTGAGAAAAGATGCAGCGATGGGAGGAAGGTGGGCAGCGGGCGATGGGGGCGCGCGATGACCAAACCTCGTGGGGACGGAAGAGGGGAACACGCCCGCCTGCCAATAAACGAATCGGCGAGGGTAGTGAACAGCAATCAGTCGGGGTAGGGTACATGTTGAGGCCGCTACTAGAGCTACAACGATGACGAGAACGATGTGAAGGTATAGAAATACCAATAGGGCAATCGAGAGCGAGCGCCCCGATGGAACCGGACTTCGCAACGGCGGCCGACCCCACAGGCGGCCAGTAGCTTAGAAAGTGAAGTGAGGTACGGCAGCGGCATCAAACGAGTGACGCCTCAACGTAGCTTGACGTCCAAAACGTTAGTCCGGTCGGCTGGAGTCAACGCTTGTCAAATTGGTGTCAGAAAAAGCTGGTCACGTTCTTGAAGTGGCCAGGGGGTATCCTCGCAAATTGTAACATCGCGCTGGTCGTCTGCCAGAGCTACAGTACTGTAAAGTGTTTAGTTTACGACCCTTGCAGGAAAACTGAAGCCTACTCGTACAGGATAATAGACCGAAAAACTACCACGAGCACACAGGGGGCGGGAACTCAACATCACCAACAACGACCGCCAAACGAGCACGAGGCTGTCGACGCAACCCGTCGAAGCCGGCACAAGTCCTTCATCATCTTCTCGTTGCCCGCATCGTCCTGGTAAGACGCGCATCGAGTGAGTTGAGCCAACGTCCATCCAACACGCTCCCGGTGTAGATGTTTAGCCGCGCCCCGGACTCCACGGCGCTCATCGCCGCCGGCCACCACTCGTCCCTGAGGCCCAACACCCACGGTGGTTGCGGCTCTTCTACTCCTTCAGCAGCAACAGCAGCAGCACTGGAAGCGCTTGTAATGGAACCAGCAGCGCGATTCGTGTCAGCAGCACCAGGTTTCCCGACCACCTCTGCAGCCAAAGCGTTCCTACCCTTGTTGGCTCTCCCAGCGGCACGGTCGATGACAGTCCCGTCGCTGCCGCCCTCCAAGAATCGTTTGCTGCTGATCCCATGGTGAGGGACTGGGTGTGGCGACCGCCGCGTTTGTCTGCGCCTCTGCTGCTGCTGCTGCTGCTGCTGCTGCAACGCATGGATCGAATCTGCTACCGAGCCGCCACCATGAGCGCCGCTACCCCCGCTACCAGGGCGAGCAACCTCCCCACCAGCGACACCGCGACCACCACCGCTGGCGACATCCCCAGCGCTGCCGACCAAACGCCCGGCCCAGGCGGCACCTAGCTCGCGGCTGGCCGTGCCGCCTGCCCGCGCCAAAGGTGGCCGGTTGCCGCTACCGTCGCAACTGCCGGTGTCGGTGGCGGCAGTGGTCGGACGCCTGCTGGCGACGAGTGTCCCGCGTTGGCTTCTTCTGCCTCTGGCGGGCGCAGTCGACGCCCTGCCGTGGGTGATGATTTCCAAGGGGGGGCGGAATACCGCCGGTCCATCCTGCGTCAACTTCGGGTGAAAACACGCAAACGCGAGTGACAGGCAGGAGGTTGTAGGATGTGGTACGTGAGGGCCACCGGGCTGGCCAAGCGAGGGAGGCGGGTGATAGATTGGAAGGGGCTGGCTGACGGGTCAGGGCCCCGGGAAAAGGTCGTCTGCACGACAGGGGATACTATCAGATGCAACTGCGCTAAGGTGATTTGACACAGACCGTGAGTTGACCGGACCTGGAATTGACATGGACTGAACCTACCGAACAAGACACAAGATAAATCACCCCCTGGACCGATTTTCAAAGCTCGATTACGCCACGACGAAGAGGGTGCAAAAACGAAACGATACATTTTTGGAAAGCTCGCGACGCGACGAGACGGCTTCAACGCCGCCGTTTTCGACGCTGGGACGCTTTCTACTGTTGAGAAGTCGAGTTTTGAAAATCGATCCAGGTGGTGTGTTATCTTGCGTCGTATACGGTAATGACGTAGCGGCCAACGGAAGCGACAGCCAGCGTTCTAGGGCACAAGCGACATGTGTACCGAGCGCAATCCGAGAGATGTTTTTGCTTCTTCACTTTTCTCTACTCCCCACCTCGAATGACGAAGGAAAGTGTTCTCGCCCGTACACTCCCGGACTCTCCCAAAGGTACCCGACCCCGCCCTCGACGCCCGCGCCATCTGCACCATAGTCGTCATGCCCAGCATCGTCGAAAGCAGCATCGTAGCTGCTGACGGTGCCGGCGGTGGCCAGCGGCGGCCTCCGAGCACGACCGCCACTGCTGGGACCGCTGAGAATGTGGTCTTCTCGCGCGGCCTTGACGATCATCTCGTACCTCCGAATGTCCCGGACGGCGGTGGCCACCTCGCCAACCTCCACGAGCCCATTGTTTCCTCCGTCAAGGTGCCGTAGGACCTTGGTTGGTTCGTTAGGTACGGGGCGGAGAGCAGGGTTCAATCTAGATGGCCAGGGAGATGTCTGTATTTTGGCCTTCGGCCTTTGCTGCGACAGACTTGTAGACGGCATCCGAATGTTGTAATCAGAACCTCGAAAAGCAAGAAACGTACGAGCTTGAAAGGTCTGATGGCTGGACCGCCGTACCGTCTTTGCCAAGTCTCACCAACATGGCCTCCGCCGGGCTGAGCTCGAAGTCGAGGTTGCGCATGAACGCCGCCAGTTCGTCGACATCCAAGCCATGATTGCCGGTACCATCACCTGCGGGGGAGTTGCGGGACAGGCCATGTCAAGCGACGGCTATTTTGCGCTCCGCATATGTAGCATCGATCGGCTTGGGGCTGGTGATCGTGGTCCACGCTAACCCTTGTGTACGTTTCCACCTTACCGGGAGTAACGCCTGCTGCCAATCCCGTCGGGGCCAAGAAAAACGACCCCATGTTCCAGAGGCGGCATTCCCGATGCGCCAATCCATCGATATACGGCGTATGAAGTCAACGGTGTTTGTTTGTCTTCCTGCTCTTTGATCAGCTACGGCATACATCAGTTGCTGGGCCCTGGGCATCGACGGCCGCGTCGGCATTTGTTTCTGTCCATATCTCATTCTATCTGGTCACCTCTTGAGCGCAATCGAAACCTCTTGGGGTTTATTAGCGCCTGCCGCCAGGGACAGATTTTCAGCAGGTTAAGGGTTCTGAAATATAACTTGACCAACGACAAGAAGAGAAGAGCGAGATTGAACCCAACGACCATATTTTGCAGCTCGCTTTGGTCTGAGCATCACACAGGAAAGTCTCTGCCTATTTAAGTGGCCTGCACGCTATATTTTTGAGGCACGGAAGTGAACCCAAAATCCCAAGAACTTCACCGAGGACGACAATAGGACCCGGGGGTAAGGCAGCGGGACAACAGCAACATGCCACTCACCCGTGCTGCCGCGAAAGCTTTCGCTAAGGTGCTTGCCGGTGCGCGTTTGCCACACCTCTATCCGCTTCAGCACCGCGTACACCCCCGCCTTCTTGTACATCTCCAGCCTCTCCGACGCGTCATGTGCTTCGGCCGTTCTCAACTCCTGCCATGTGGAGGACATATTCGAAAGGAAAGTGCAGAAGCTAAACCGGTTTCGGTTCGGAACGCATCGCTCGCCCTACCACGCGAACCACTGCTGTGCGTTCCTAGGGTAATCGCGCGACCTCTGTCAGCGGCCGTTTGACTGATGGTGTCCAGAAAATGCAATGAAAATAATAGAAACACCTTGTGGTATGCAGCGAATTTTGTCCTGTTGACATAATCGACCCCTGGTCTGTAGAACAACAAGTGTCCTCCCCGCACGTGGTTATGCTGAGCCCAGAGCCCGGTGTCGACCCCGGTCAATACGATAGATTTCGGGCAGAAATCCGCTTGTTGTGCAAGTGCGAGGCACAAGCACTACACCAACAACTCAGGAGCACCGCAACGCCGAGAACGACACCCGCACAGTAAGCCGGGGACTCAAGCAGCGCACAACCTTTTGCCGGATCCTTTCTTCGGCGAGCTCGGCCTTCGCCCTCGCCCGAGCCTTTCGCCGCGCGGGCTCCCTGGATAGAGCTTCGAACAACATTCGAAGTTCGTGTTTCTCGATGTACCCGCTCCGGTTCCTGCTTTGCAGGTACAAGGATACGTACGAACACCTTAAGATCACAGCTCAACCTAATCTCGGATGCTATCCTTCACGACCCCGGCTCGTGGGCCCACACATACCGGAAGGGGGAACAACGCTACATGTTCTCTTCATGGCGGTTTCGAGTAGAAGGCTTTGTTTGGCGCAACCCCCGAGGAGGAATTTCTTGTAGTTGCTACGCAGCTCCTCTCCAACAGCAATGAACCGACTGTTTAGGCCAGAGCTGTAATTATTGGTACTTATTCAGTGTTTGCCTTCAATTGTTCCGTACGGAGCATGCAGGCATTCTTTTAGAGCTACGCCGACCTTCTTCAACGACAACAACACCAACAACGACAACAACAACGACAACAACAACGACAACGACAACCCACAACAACAACAACAGCAACACCACTGTCAAAAATACTATCAACAACAACCCCAGCCCGTTAACGACAACACCAATATCGGGTGTTGATTTTCTACCTAGCACCCGCCTGTCCAAGAAGAAGAACACGTCCGTGAATCGTGCCCCCGTTCGGTGCATGTAGCTCTCCAGCACCTGCAGAAGGTTTCCGGCCTCGCTCGTCCTGGCATCATCTTCGTCTTCGTCGGCATGTAGTCTTGAAATCGCTAGCCTGCCGAAACAAGCATCATAGACACCACGGGGTTACGCGCACGAGGGGCGTCAAAACCGACCAAACTTTGGAAAATTGCTGCTTCCCATTGCATCTGTCTGAAACCCCATGCTCCACGAAAAAAGTAGCTTGAAAAACGTGCAAAATGGACCTCATCGCGAGGAGTAATGAACGAAGCTCGATCACGGGTTAACATACTTGTGTACACGAAATTCGGGCTCAACCTCCGAGTATGATGACTTCAGGAGACGAGCAATACCCTCGTTTTGCCACGAAACGACCTCGGTTTCAAGGCCTTGCGAATCGAAAAGACTGCGGACGGTACATATCTCTTTGCGGAACACGTCGTCGACAGCATTCTGCAGAAGTAACCTCATCTATGATGAAGCCCACTTCCGGAGGAAAACACGGTTTTGCACCGCCCGTCTGCTCCCGTCTCTTGCTTACCGCATTTCCCGGATGTCCAGAGAGAAATCGACGTCCGTATCGATAAAGCGCATGAGGTCGCTGACGTCCTTCGAAGTGAACGTCTCGCTCTCAAGCCCTAGGAAATACGCCCTTTCCGACATGCGAGATGGTTTCAAGAGTGATGCGTATGAATAGGGGCTGAAGCTCATTCAGGAAGACTATCACACTACAACGTCGTTCCCTCTTTTGGCGGTGACGACGTTGCTCTAAGCTCGGTTGGAACTATATTTCTGGCAGGTTAGGATCATTACGAATACCAGTGACAAAAATTCTCCTACTTCTACTCTTCGCCGGCGATGACTGCATTAGACAGCGATGCTCCGCGCACAGATTCAAACTATTATTCTCCCCCATGTGCGCATTTGTCGAGCGGATCTGCCGCCTGTTCGTGTGTCGCGCCACATATGGGGCGTCAAACATCCAGGGTCCTCCACGAAGACGACAATGGGGCGTGACGCGCTGGCCTCAGGAACCCCCGTGTCTTCCACGTTCTACCTGATAGCTTCACACCACACAAACCAGTGTGATAAACTCGCGTTTTGTGCAGGGCGAGGTTCAATCGTGTATGAAGGAAATCCACTCTTTCGTTTCTAGGAGGGCAGGAAGGGCCAACATAGTGAAACACAGAGCGCTCCTCCTTTGAAGACAGTTCCTTAACTTCCCCGAGAAGCTAGCTGTCAAGCCAAACTCGCTCCCAAAGCCGGGGCCAAGTCCACTCAGAGGAAGTCCATACTCATGATACATCAGATTTGTGCTTGGTTGCTCTTACAGATAGCTTTGCCACAGGGCACTTCACTGCCCTCGGAGGCGAGGCTTCGTGATGGCGAGAGGGACCACCTCGCGGACATGTTTCTGAAATCGTGTTCCATCCTTCCCCTTGGAGTGACAGCGACGACATGAATGATTCGTGGCGTGCTGTCCTTCGCAACGTACGCAACCATGCGCAACCATGCGCTGGGGCAGGTTGCTGCCTCACCTCTGCCCTAGATACACCATGCCATCCAGTGCGTGCTCCCGACAAGCAATGGCCCTGCCGGCGTTCAGTACGTCTATCGAAGAAGCTCTCGTTCTCGATTCCGCCCCCTCCTCTTTGTTGTTTTCGATGTGTCCCGCCTGATTGTCGGTCCCGCACCACTGCTCTTGCCCGGCCGAAGGTCGTTCCTTAGCCCCCGTCGGAACCAGGTCACTCTCACATCGATCGATTTCATATCCGGGTTCTTCGTCAGACCGTGTTACGATGGTGTTGCTCCGGCCGCCGCCACCACCACCACCGCCACCGCCACCGCCACCGCCACCATCAATACCGCCGCCGCAAGGGCTTCCCGATAGCACATTCATCACCCGTGATAAACGTCGAGCATCTACGCTTCCGTTGTCGCCGTAAAGGCTCGCACCATGAGTTCCTTCTGGCTGATGGTGCCCCATTGGAACAGCGCTCCCCAGTGAGCCACCACTAACATCACCTTGAGCTGAACCGCCCAAAGGTTTGCTTTCCCCTTGCTGTCCACGCTCGCCTCCCCCACCAGCATGCCTCGGGTCGGGTTCCTGTATAGGGTCAGAATTACCGTCCGGGGTAATAGAGGAGTTGGTGTCTCCGTTGATGGTGGTGCAGCCTTGATTGTGGCTGCTGATGTGGTTGTGTTGTGTTGGACCGGTCTCGTCGAAGCCTTCATGCTGGCGATGCCTTCCGTGGTCAGCAGGTGCCTGGTGGCCATGGTCTTGCGCATGGCTGGAACTATTTTCTTGCCTCTCGGTGCGTTCCATGATGGAAAGATCTTTGGCGACACCGCCACTCGAGGAACGGCAGTTGATGCTGGTGCCGTTGCCCGTTTCCAATCCGTCTCCGGCAGTGTCAATCTGAGGGCCTGTCAAGGGAGGGAGGCCGTAGTTCGGGATTCGGCTGCACTTGAAAGCACGGCAGCAGCACTCGCGTCGAGCGATGTGGGTGGCCAGACGCTCAAAGCCCACCCGGAGCTCCAAAGCGGTCAGCTTTCCGTCACCGTGTCCGTTCTGAGAGTGGAACGTGTGGGGTTACGGTGTGTAAGACTCTTTCTGAATTGCATCCGGCAAATTTCTGCGGCGTACGTACCCACGCGAGCTCAACAAACACGCCAACCCCACACAACCATGAACAAGGCAACTAACATGAAGCTGTAGTCTAAACACCCTTGTTGGTGCTGGTATGAATAGCAGAACATGCCAATACACGAGTGGCCTACGTGATCTGCAGTTCCTCTCACAGCCATCGCCTCATCAACGACCACGAGGGCCGTAGATAGAGAAAAATTCCTTCAACCCCCCAACACCGTTCGCAACAAAAAGACTTGCCCAGTCAACGGCCTCAGCAGAAAACCAAACCATCACCTGAGATGTATCCATGAACTTGAACCACTCTTCGAGAGACATCCCCGCCCGTCTCATCAACCGCACGACCTTGGCCAGAACGACTCGACCGGCTCTTTCGGCCTTAACGGTGGCCCACTTCCTCCGTATCTTGCGAAAGCCAGAAATCATCTCCTCAAGCGTGACCTTGTCGTCCCCGCGCCCAGCTTTATCGAAAAACTTGAGTAACTGCCACAACAACCAACAATGTGTTTGAGAGAGACCCGACATCAACGGCAATAAAGGGCCGCTAAACTCACATGGAGAGCTGCGAACATCACGTTGAATATTTTTCGGTAACGATAAGCATACAACGTCAGGATGCCTTGGTTTACCCAAACACGAATTTCTGGCAGGCATTCGTCCGGAAGCCTGAAGGTTCGCTTTGGAATACAGATTGAATGCAAAGTTAAAGTCATTGTTTTTCGAAATCAGAACGCCAAGCGAAAGTCGTGCAGAGACGCATGGCGAATATTCGGCGAGAAAAGACTGCACCTACGTTACCTCACTAGACAGGTAGTGGAGGGGACGGCCCTCCCTCAACACGCAACATCAGGACGAGGGGGTTCAATCAAGCTCGGGCTAAAGAATGGTTGATGATTTGAAGTACACACTAGAAGGCCCAATGCGAAAAGTCTGCCCATCTTCGTCTGAGCAGTAGACATAGTAGTTCCAGCGTAAGTCGTTTCACCGCGTACGTGACCACGTGACACAAAACTTGCAAAAGGGGACGATGGATTCGCTTGTCGACAAAACGCCGAACCGTGATAGAGGTGAGGACCCGACTTTGTATGGCGGCGAAATCTCTTGGTTACAGTATTTTCTGTGTTATGCGAGTTACTTCGTACTGCACATAGGTGAGCCCGGCCTGGAGACATGGCTAGTAAATTGAAACTCTCGTGATGTGGAAAAGGGGGGGACGGGGAGGCTGACTTCCCTTGCTACAACTCGAAACATGTTCACAGCAGCGAAACTACTGTAGGGAAAAGTTGTGGAGGCTATTGATCATCATCAGCTATGTCTTCGGGAAAACGAGAAGAAACACTGTCTACCTTGTCGATGTCTTCGTCGGCAAAGAGCAACGCTGATGGGTCCACGTACGACTCGGTGTCGTCTCCACCGGCGCCAACGAACGCGATGCCCTTCGAAGAATCTCCGCCAGGCTGTCCTATCCCGAGAGCACCCCCGCTAGCTATGTTCAGCGGAAGGGCCTTGCTGTGCCCTCGTTTCGTGATTGCCCCGTACGTGATGCCATCCTCGAATATGTACTGGTCTACGGTTGGCATGGTTGGTGGAGGGTTCTCGAAGAGATTCGAGTAGTGAGCATACGCTTTCTCCACGTGTTGCCCGCCATCGTTTCTTTGGGAAGAGGGGATTGCATCCACTCCATTGGGGCTGAGGGAGCTCCTTTCAATCTTGTCGGAGATCGATTGCTGTTGCTCGTTGGAATCTCCACTGCCCACGTCGCATATATGTTTACTTTGTGGCGGTGTCGGCGAGACTCGTTGCTGGTGCGGAGACGTCTGTTCTCCTCCAACGGCACCGCCTGTTGGGGTGCCTCGTAGAAACACATTGGGATCTTGACTTTCCAACCCTGTGGCTTGTCCGGGTGCGGTCACGTTCGCCTGGCGAACCAGAGTGTTAATGTTTTGCCACCAGGGGAGCATCGACCTCACCGCCGGTACGCCCCCGCCGGCATCAGTTGCCGCAGGCGTTCTCCTCTTCCTGGCAAGTGCCTTCCTGCTTGCCGGAGACGGCGTACAACCCAAAGTCATCTTCTTGCTGTAGACGTACCCAGGCTGCCTTCGCGATATGGGTCGCAGCGAGACCTGGTGTTTGGGCCGCAACCTCCCACCGTCTTGTCCGCCTCCGTGCTGCTCCGAGGACGGAACGGTTCGCGATTTCCCATTGCCGCCGTCGCTTCGGTCGTGGTCACCTGCTGCTGGCACGGCCAAACTGCTGTGTCCGCGACTGCAGTAGTGCCCTAGTGACGGTGCAAGGTTGACTAGGCCATCTCTTGTATGGTTGACGTCGTTGCTGCTGTTGCGCTCCAGCCTTGAAGAAGAACCAGTTGTCGCTGGTCGAGAGCCGGTCGCCGCAGCTCTTCCGGACGCTGGCTGGCCTCCGTAACTCGCAGGCCGAGACGTGCTAGAGACGAGTCCCTCTTGCTCCTCAACCACCATCCCTGGGGTTGTTGGTGGGTAGCTGCTGTAGTGCTCTGGACGTCCTGCGTCCATCTTGCTAACATGGTGAACGCGGAACAATTAAGGAAAAAATAATAAAATACACGCACAGAAAGACTACCCATTCGAGATATACCCACAGTCGAACGTGCATCACATCATGTTCTGCTGGTGTGTATCGGCATCGGGAGGTCGGAAGTGGGATCGGTTTCGGTGGTTCACATGCCGGTTGGCGAGGTTCGGGCGAGCTACTTTCACGAGGTTCCGCCGCTTGTCGGTTCACGTACCACTTGCCGTGTTCCCCGGCTGGTGCATATCGCCTGCAGCACACTTGCCAGCGGACAGACCCTCGATGGTTTGGAACTCGAGATCGCATGTGTTACCTAGGCAACGTATGCCTTCAGCGGCGCAAAAGCTTCATCTCAACAAGAAGGATCCGTTGTGGCCGGCGATCCCCTCCAGGATAACTCTCGAGGACCCCCCTCTCATAGCTCAGGTTTGTCACCACCACAGCTACACAATGCCCTCTTGCCATCGCCTCTGATATTCTGATACTACGTATGCATACTGGCAAGCACTTTTCTATCTCCCTATTGCTGCATGCGATCATCACACCATCACACCTCTCTTGAGGCGCCGCTTGCGCGGGACACCCCACCCATGTTGAATGACAATCGCGCGTGATTCTTTTTTTCAGCGAGAAATCGTGTCCTACAAAGTCATTCGATTAAGAGCTTTCCAATCGTACAGTAAGTAACGTTCGTCATTACTTGTCACAGTACCAGTGGAGCAATAGAGAATTGAACGTATCTGACAAACGCGTGGTTTCATTCGACGTGCTTCAAGTAGTACGCGTATTACTTTGCCGAAGGTGTGACAGACTGGGGGATCTATATAGCTGTAGTCTTTCATGGTGAGGACTTCACTACTATTCCTCACTTGCGCCACATTCCGAGCGTCCCTGAACGTTAAGGGGGTACAGAAAAGGGGTTGTGACGCTGACTCTTTTTGCCATACTTTAATCCGATACAAACAAAGAAAACAACCTTCTTTTGCCATACTTTAATCCGATACAAACAATGAAAACGACCTTCCCGCCAGGGTTAGGTGTCGCATTCTATTGTCATCAGTAGATGACACCATGAAGAGGCGTCGTGCGTGCTTGTACGTTCAGGTTCGCTGCTGGAGCTGAACTATCGAAGGTCGGAGCAGCCTCTGAAAACAGTCCGAAATCTGCTGCCGGAACCAAGCGGCATCCAACATTGGTCACAGCCGTGCTCACCGCCGCGGACAGTAAACCCCTGAACCATGGGTCGTCAGCAGTAGCTAGTGGCATCAGCTACCGCTGTAAACCCGCAGTTCAGTGGATTGGAGTCAGTGGCAGCGAGCACGGCTGTGACAAATGTTGGATGCCGCTTGGTTCCGGCACAGATTTCGGACTGTTTTCAGAGGGTGCTGCGACCTTCGATATTTCAGCTCCAGTAGCAAACCTGAACGTGCCAGCACGCACGACGCATCTTCATGATGTCCTCTACTGATGACAATAGAATGCGACACCTAACCTTCAAAATTGACCTTGTTTGAGCGCCTTCCGTTTTGGCTCTTTTGACTAGAATTTAGAATCGTGTAAATTTTTATCTTGATTTCAAAGGAAGTGTGTGGAGGTAGACGCGTGAAATGCATGTTTTGAGCAGCCTCTACTGCCGCCCTGTGCGAGAACCAACGATTTCCGTTTTTCGCGCTGCCTTCCTACTGGTCTGGTGTGTCTGTTGTGCAATTTCTGGTGCTCTTGTATTTGATTTCAAAATTAGCCACAACATCAAAATTCGTCTTCTGCGCCCCCTTCAACTGCAAGGAAGTATAATTATCTCCATTTCGGAAAAACAGTTGCATTCTGCCACTCTGAGATTGCCGAATCACTGTAAGAGAATCGCACACTGAGCACAAGCCAACGCGACCACCTATGGTCGCGTGTGGTCGCGTGTTGCCCGCTAAAGGTGTTCAAGATGATGGAAAACGCACAGCCGGTGCAGGCCCTCCGCGACTCCCTTCGCCGGGACCGCGTTGCTGCCGACGTGTCACGAAAGTTTGCCGCGCCCCGAGAGAAAGAAAGCAAAGTCGGCAGGAAACGCGGCAGACGCTGTGGGACGGCAAACAGTGCGCTTGGTGAGAGAACCCACGTACCAGCTTTCCGCACCACGCAGTTCCTTGTATTTTCTCTACTTCGAGAGGACGATACTGTTAACCTCGAACGCCACGAGGGCCGTAGTTCAACATTCGGCATGAACTTTCAAGTGCATGTTCGATCGCCATATGGCGTGCGTATGGTTAAAACGGAAACAAAGAGTAAAGCTGTAACGATGGAAAAGAGGACAAATGGCGGATACCATTTGGTCACCCAATACTCCAAGACGTCTCGTTCTTTGCGCACATACGCTGCTCATGTCGAAACTAGACTTGCTCGGTATTCGTTCTGCAACCTTCCCTTCAGTTGTACGCACATAACTCGTGACATCTTTTGAAACCGAGGGTACACACAGAAAGCTTTGGTAGCTTCTCCGGAAAACACCTGAGGTACAGAACTTCTGAGTCACTCCCACTCTCAGACACGCACCCTGTTGACATAGACCAATCGTTGCTACACTGCTGCCACATGTTTCATAGTCTCCACATCCTTCTTCTCCACACGCTGCGTTGAACAAGCAAAGTTGACAAAGCTCGAGTGTTTTCCTTTGGTTGGGGTGTTCGCTCTAAATCTCCGTCCTCGCCCGCCTAGAACAAGCCTACCTCCCGGCCGGGGTAGCCCCAGCAATTGGCTTGAGGCAGCAGCGATCGCGCAGCGGTGGCAGCAACTGTGGAAGCCCTTCTCGCGGACTGAGTCACGCTGCGAGCCGCCATCCGGGGGACTCAGCAACCCGACTGAACAACAATCATGTCGACGAACGCGCTGGAGACATCAATGAGGGTTTTCGATCCAGGATGGGGCTTCCCGGATCCAGTAGCGAGCCAATACTCTCGTCTGCTCAGGTACGTATGCTGCTTTGCCGTCAACTCAACTGCACACTGCGCAGATGCAAATCTTCGTCGCGCTTGCCATCATGTTATATGGTGCAGTCCAAGTCAAGTAAGCGTGCCACCACAACCAACCTTTCCCGGACGAACTTTCCAGAGTTGCATGTATATATAATTGCAACTGTTTACTGGCTGTGGGTTGAGCAGTACGGCTGGCGTCAAAGTTGGACTCGTTAGTTGTTTTCTGTCCCCGAACATCACTAGAGTATCCGGAGGCCTCCCGGAACCTTCCTCTGACTGTACATCGACTGTACCTCCCCATCCTCCATGTCTCTAGCTACGAAACTTGCTCTAACTCTTACTCGTGTCACGTCCAAACCGTGAATCGCTTCGTTTCGTTCTCTTGCTCAGTCGTTGTCCTCTGACATCACATCGTTGGCCAGTCACTGCGGCTTCGAATTCAACTCTCGCAGCCACGGAGGCAGCAATTCTAGTCTTTCCTCCTCCAGCCGAACAGCTCAACCATCCAACCGCCAGCCGCATAAGCGACGGCATCAGCACCGCAACAGCGGGCAGCAGAACTCGGCTGAGGTGCCTACGTGGTCTGCTTCCCATGGCGGCGGCGACACCTCCCCGACAGCCGCCTTGTCCGTCATGTCTTCGGGAGACGCAGACACTACCCCGCTCCCGGGCGTCTGCTACATCACGTACCCCCCGACACCGGACCTAGCGGCGGTTTCCTTGTCTTCTCCGCCCGCAGAACGCGGCCTCGATGGCCCCCGCGGCCGTGCCCGCAACAGCAGCAGCGATGCCGGCAGCGACGTCACGCAAATCGCTCGCGCCGCCAGGAGAGAGGACTCTTCCGCTGACCTTCCCGGAGACGTGGAAGAAGAAGAAGAAGAAGAAGAAGAAGAAGAAGAAGAAGAAGAAGAAGAAGCAGGAGGGGGTGAGAACGGTTCTGCTGCAGCGGAAGCTTCGCCAAGAGAGACACACGAAGATGAATGTTCCTTCACGGTGGGCGGTACTGCCAACGTATCATCTCCAGTCGGCAGCTGGCAGAACGAAAGATGCGGCAACCGCGACATCGCCGATACTGGCTGTCCGGGCCTTAGTAGTGGTGAGGGGGGCCAGCGGCAACGAGGGCCCACGGAACAACCGCCATTGGCCAGCGGAAAAACCACCTTGAAACGACACGTTGCCTACGACTTGGAAGAGGACCCGGGAAGTTACGAGTCCGGATTGGTGGGGGCGGGGGAGGTGGCCTCCATGGAGGGAATAGCGGAGCAGGGATCAGAACGTCGAGCGGCGCCGAGGAGACAGGCTGGGAAGGGCGGCGGAGGTGGGGAACGGCCCCTGCGTTGTGGTCAAAAGGTGATCTCGATGATGATTTCGGATGGCCACCCGTTGGTGGCGTCGAGGGGGTCCCCATCGCTTCCTGGGGTGGACGAGCACCAGCTTCCGCCGTTCTGGCTGGCCGAGATGCACGACAACATGAGGAAAAATAGGCAAGCACGACCTCCCTCCTACATCCAAGAGTGCGTTGTGGATGCCTGTCGAGCGAGAGTTTTGTCCTCGTTCCTGCTATGATGCGGCCGCTGCTCGAGGGTGACACTCGTGAAGCACGTCGGTGCGCTACGAAGAAGAGGCAGGAACTGCTCGAAATGCAATCCATGGTGTGCATGCTGGTTAGATGATAAATCTTGATGAAGGCCAGCCTCCCATGATGTTGAACCTGGGCGTATGCCGTCGGTTTCCTTTTCTGACCGGTGGAAGTGCCTGACGCGGTCATGTGAAGACGGGGTCTAAGCAGCATGATGCTTTTCCTGAGGCATTTGGGACCCTACCCAGTCGTGTTTACCTCTCAAGAACCCACATCGTACAGAAACAATGCGGCCACTGTCAGTCTTGCATGTTGGAGATGCGCGATGTCATGCAACAAGAACGGCTGATTGTCCGAAACGTCGGGAAGAACACAAGCTCGGTATCATGTGAAAACGTGCCACCTCATCCCAGGTCTAACTCGTCACCCGTAGCTCTATCTCCACGCTTTTCCACACCTGCCAGGACCACTGACTGACGTGCTACATGCACCGCGTGATAATTCAACACGCTCCTTCAATCGTTCATTGCGATGAAACAAGAGAAAAAACGTCGAACGACCCGCATAGGGACGCCCCTGCCTTGTCTCTGACACCATGTCTCCCAGTAATACCAGGCCATAACTGCGCAAAACTGCAAAAACTATCAGCGAGACATTTGATGGTTCGATACTACAACAGCACCTAAAGTCTCTTGATCTCGCGCCCGGGACCGGGCCTTCCCTGCCGCGCCGCACCAGGGCGGCGCTTAAAAATCCCTTTCGGCACAGGGCTGTTCGTGCGCGGGCACCGGCCCCGACCCCCGAGGACGAGGCGAACGCCTTCGATGAGTTAGGAGAAGACGGCAGGCAAGTGAAAGTGTCCACAGCAGTGCGGAGGCCGAGATCGTTGAGCCAACGCGTGTTCTACATGCGCTTCCAACACTATCCAGTATGCGATGGTGGGAAGCACGTGGAAAAAGCTTGTAGTTTTTGTTTTTGTCATGGCCCCTGGATTGCGGTGGTACGTGGTGGCGGGTGACGGCGGTGGGTTTGCAATTGTCGTGACGGTGTCATTGTGTTATGGGAGCTGATGTTTTCGTTAACAGCCGTGCAGTACACGCGAAGCTTGCTTCAAGTCGGCACCGCCATCGCTGCTGCCGTTGGCACCCACCATTCGCTCTTGGTTTTGATATGGGGCTGTAGGTACAACCCCCGCCCAGATCAACCGCTGACTTCCCGCCCTCATTTCTTCAGGTCGAGGCTGAACACGGATGCGGAGACAGAGCTGACGATGGTAGTGCGCTATTTCATGGCCTTCGGGTCGAAAGGGGGTCGAGACGGCCTCACCCTCCAGGTGAAGCAAGGCAGAAAATCGGATGCCTGCAGAAATGCTCTCTCGGTTTTCTACAAGAGCAGAAACGGATCATTAGCCCTATCCGATACATATATATACGGGATTAGCAGCTTCATGAAGGTGGAGTGAGCTACCGCTTTTCGGCATTGCTAGCGCGTAGGGATAGGAGGATGATGTGGGGATAACGTTAGCCTGTCACAGACGTCAGGATTGTGCTCGTTCACGGTGGATGACGAAAAGCCTGAAAGAAGGAGGCGGGTGCTGAGTTACATGGGCAAGGAACAACATTGTGGCAGCGACAGGAGATCAACACTACCGGCGAGTCGCAGGATCAGCTATCACAACAGCGGCACCAACAACACCAACAGTGTCGACATTCAAACCAAGGGGACTATCCGCTCATTGTGTTCAATGACGTACGTCAGGCTTGTCGTGTGGGAATGACCTTGGGTTCCACAAGATAGATGGTTCGGAGCAAACATGTGAGATGTAGCCTCCGTGCATAGCTACCTCAAAACGTGCGCCGGTGGACTGCATCGACGTCCTGCCTTGGCTATTCGTTCTGATCCCAACCTCTCCCCAGGACCTCGAAGCAGCGTTCCGAGCCTCCAGGAGGGCGGATGCGTTCTTGGCGATCGAGAAGAAAGGAAAGGCGGCATTTATCAAGGTAAGAATAGCGATAACGTCTTCATCGTTGAACGCATCCCTGTCTATCGTAGTCGAAGAGAATAGCCGCCAAAATAAACCGGCATTTGTGCGATAGATTACAAACGGGAAGGCGATCGTTCGAGAATGGAATCCCATGAAAAACATGAGTGTCATTGCACGTTGCTCGCGATGGTTGCGGTTGGCTTTCGGGTTTGCGTCGAGGTGGGGCATGTCCAACCATCCAACCATCTCTCTCCCGTGTGAAGACGATAATGGTAGCGGCTTGATTAAGAATGGGAAGCTAGCCGTTGCACAAGGAAACACGCGTCGACACATCCGATGAACCCCTGCAGCTTGGTCATCCATTCACCTACGTATCCGACCGGCAGTGTCGAGCCAACATGCGGGTGTAGTCAGGTCATCCTCGACGATAGTTCATGACAGGCCGCACTGTAGCACTCAGCCAATGCGTCTGAGGGATCAAATCATGACCATAAACGATTATGCGATGTTCCGCTTGTTCCTCTTTCCCCGGCCTGTCGAATTGGGTGCTCCACTTTCTTTGCACTAGTGTTTGGCCATGCTCAAGGCTCACGGGCTAGCACCCGAGGACTGGCTGCAGGAGCTACTGTCCGAAAGGTTAGCTGCTAAAGGGCGAGAGCGTTCAAACCCCGAAGCGGAGGGCGCATAGTTTGCAACAACTCCGGCTCGTAAATCAACTAGCCCCGGAATAGGACATCCGTCATGGGGCGGGGGCTTTCTACATCGCACGTTCCTGAACAACAATACGGTTCTCTGATTTTTCCCCTCCCACCCTTCACATTCGGAACTCATATATATCTGACTCAGATATCCGCTCCAGTCACCGTTCCCACCCTTCCGCCTTTTGCGTTTGTTCTATCCTTCCCTCTAACCCAGGAAACAGGATCGCCTGACGACGTTCGAAATGGGCGAGAGTATCCGTGGCTATAACAGGGCTAAGCCCGCGTGGGTCCGGTCCCACAAGCATTGGCTACGCGAGTTCATGATCTCGGAGAAGGACCTTCGCTGGTGCCAGCGGTTCGTGGATCCCGACGGGTGAGCACACGGAGGCATATGCCAGGCTATAGGCTACGGGGTGATTTGTGTACGAGTGATCTTTGTCGGTTGAAATGAAAATGTCTTGGGTTCTTTGTTGCTCAACCCTGAGCGAAGGACATTTTTCTAGGGCAGTCAGTGCCAGGACTAATTTGGCCGGACTGAGGTGCATAAGTGTCATCAGGGTCATTGCGGTCGTGGCTTTCTCGTACGGGTGCCGGTACGCGGGTCCTTTCAGCGTGGAGAACCGGCGTCAATCGGCTCGCATGCTGTCCTTTCTACGAGGCCGAAGCGTGCCCGCGTGACCGGTGCTCACGTGTATTACTGCCCCGCGCAATGAGTTGTCGCATGTCTCCGACTGCCGATACGCGTGCCGCATGGTGGACAGTTGCAGCTTGCCTCTTTGGGTGTTGTGAACCAGACTATCGCTTCCTCATCTCCAGCGGAATGGTTGTTGACGGAGGTCATGTGTAAATGTGAAAGGGAACGGGGACGGGGGACAATCTGGTACAGGAATTTGTCCACCTCTTCGAAGAATCACAGAGCATGCTCTCCGTCAACCTTTGTCGTTGGGGAACCGTCATCCGCATGGGAAAAATGTGCGATGCATCAGGAACACCGACATCGACGAAGAGGAGCTTTCAAACGCTGTTAAATCTACTCTCGACGGGAAGCCCCGCATGTCGTTCGAAGAGAGCCGGTGAGAAGGGTCGTCGAATAGGAAGCTATGCGGGCATCCTTGCTGGTCTCGCAGATGTTATCGCGTGCAGCTTGTCGTAGATCGTGTTCAGCGCCGGCAGCAGAGATTTGCGTCATTCGCCTCGCAGCGTATACCCCGACAACAACATGGGAAGACTGCTAGCCGAAGCTTTCCGGTGAACGCATGATGCGATTGAATGTTTTCCTTCTGCCCGGTGTTCCCCCCTGCTCGCCCTCCCCGTGCCATCCGACGACATCGGTTCCCCCGCCCGAAAAAAAAGAGCGGTGGAACTCATCTTGGAGTTTGAAAAATTCATATCGACCAACCGTATCCGGCTGGTCGACCTTTTTGAGAGGGTCGACAAGGACAAGGGAGGAACCATAGACGGCGAAGAGCTCAGGGAGTTCTTGAAGCTTGGGAGGAAAACGTGAGTGGAATATCCAGGTTGTGTGGGGGAAGGCGGAAGGTATGACAACAACAGTTGATACCTGCCAGGGCGGGGCGTTCGGGGCTGGTGGGGCGAGCGAATGGTGGATGCCGGACGTCAAACGGTGCACATGACCGAGGAAAAGATGCATCGTTGGTTCATTCTCTCCTCTCGACGAAATTTTGTAAGAGCAACAGGAACATCGAAGGGGGCACGGGATAGGGATTGAACTGCTTGGGAAGCTTGGGAAGAGAGCGTGAGCGCTTGATAAAGAGAGGGACATAGGGTACAAAACCGTGCACATTGTGGAGAACGTTGTGTGGTCTTGCAGTCTTGGGAACGTGAAGAACAGCAATCGCATTTTTTGTTCGGCGTTCACTCGCACACCTTTCACCAGAACCGAGAAATAATCCCATCTATTCAATCAGTGCTTTACTTAGAATAAGGGAGTGGGGTCGGTCGACGATGAAGGGGTTAGGTTTCTCGAAAGCGTTGGGGGAGAGCGAGCACAGCGAGGAGGTAACGTGATCGCAGGTTTTCAACATTGAAATCAGTTCACACGACAACGGAATTGATTTACCGTTTCCTGGGCACTCATTTGGTATCCTCGATATGGTGTGTCTGTCGACAGCACAGCTCCTACAGTAGCAGCGTATATTCAATGCCGTCTTCAAGTTGGAATTATCCCGTGCTTATGTATTCGAAAGTCGTATGAGACGCCGATGAGAGACCCCCGATTCTCACAAAGGATTCGAAAGCAAAACGAAAAGTGAAGCACAATATGCCGTCGTGACATACTTGGAACCACTTCCCGGGCATCGTCAAGGTAGTAGAACGGATACCAGCGCCCCCTCCTCCTCGAGACCAGCACTACAGAGAGAAGCGGTGGTATGTGAACGGACATCCTAGAACAACCCACTTTCATGACCCTTTACGACTGGCTCGCAGAGCGGACGGCGATGATCTTGCCCGATCAAAAGAACGGAAGGAAAAGATGGAGGAGGAAGAGAGGGACAAAGCCAGGAACGAGTTTATCCGGAAAGCACACGAAGCAAAAGAACGCCACAAAAGATCGAGGTCGGTGTGTTGGGCGTTCGAAGATTGCCAGTTCTTTGTTTTCGTGAAAATCGACCACGCTTGTTGGAGCCGTTGGTCATGGTTTCGACATGTTGGTGTAGGATATCTATCACACCTCTGTACCAAGAGCCGAAGGGTTGACGAATCCAATGGCCGTTCGATTATTTTCTTTGCTAAATCCGCATGGCGTATGCATTTGTGGCAGCTTTTTGAACTCCTGTCTTGCCTCCGCAGCAAACCATCGATTGAATGTGCCTGTTTCCGGATCAAATCGTCGGATCCTGGTGCAGACATCTACTTCGGCCGTTTAGATTCTACGTCATCTTTTTTCGAGTACCTTTACCTAACGTGCCTAACGGAATATTCATACCTTGAGAGAAGCTGTATTTAGCCGTCTTGCTACTCCGTAACTTGGATTATTTTTTCATGGAATGACGGTGTGTGTTGTACCCGACGTCAGCAGCGATCGAGCCACGGGCGACCTGTAGTGCTTGCTCTTTCGCACGGCCTCGTCGCTCAAACCTTCACGTCTTGCAGCCGTTTCGATGACACCCTGATCGATTCCTTTTGTGCACCCACCCAAAATACAGGGAAACCGGTGTCAACAGGATGCTCGACAGCCTCAAAACGTTTACCAAGACCAAAGGCCTTCGCCTCTCCGACATGATACAGGTGCGGCTGACACATGCCACTACGAGAGGCGCTTGCAAAACCTTCCACCCGCATAGGATTTTCTCGCGAGTGGGCCCGGCACCGTGAGTTTGTTGCTACGGCGATTATGTGTGCGGGAGGGTAGGGGAATGCAGATATTTTGGATTGCAGAGACCTAAACGCTGCGTGTTCGTGAAACCTACCTACCACAAACCAGGCCACCGGCGCGCATCCCGACGAGGGCATGGACCCTTCCCAGCTGCTGGCCTTCTTCGAGCGGGCGACAGGCTCGTCCCTCGACCTTACCAAGGAGTCCCTGGAGAAGATCGTCCAGAACGTGGACGAGGACGGCGACGGCCTGGTGAGATTCTCACCACGGGGCGACAGGTCGCCAGAAATGTATCCGATTGACGTTGAGGAGTATGGCGTGCATTGGAGTGTCAAGAAGGATGTTTGGAGAGAAAAAAGAACGTCAGTCCAGCGTGGTGGCATTTTTCACAGTTCTGAGATCGAGGAGACAGTCTTTGTTTGCCACTACTGTCGTCGGTCGAGGCTTGTAACGCAGGGTGGTGCGGCTCCAACGGCAAGGATAGCGCTCCCGGGAAAGCAACACTCCCTCGTCAGAGAATTCCGGCGATGACTGCCGGCGTTTTTTCAGCGCTTGGTCAACGTTCTGTTGTGTTGCTTTTTGAGCAAGATCGCTGGGAACAAACCACTCACTCAGACGCAAGTGTCGGCGAGAATAGCAGAGGATATGTGCGGATGACCGCGCCGCGCCGCCAAGGACATCATACACGGAAAACAAGCTGTGTAGTATCAAACCTGGCCAAGGGTCGTCGATGAAATCTATTCCTGCTTTAACGACAACAAAGCTACTGTCTTGGCTGGCATTGCGTAGTCGTGACAACACTGACGTTGACCATGCGTGATGTCGGGAGAGAGACACACAGAGAGAGAGAGAGGGACAGACAGCAAGTCGGTGACGAACCCAATGGTGGCAGAACGGCTTCATCCTAGAAATCAGCCGTCCTACCAATCGCCTGAAGCAATCAGCCCCAGCCTGTCTTCTATGGTTTTATCTTCCTTTGGCCTTGATATCCACAACTTTGGGGACATCTTGTGTGGCGGAATGTCAGAGAAAATAGGCCACGCCGCAAAACACTCACTTGCGTTATTAACACAAGTCAAGCTCGGTTGATCTGCCTTCACCCCCACTTCCTCCTCATTCAACCCCCCCATCCCGCCAACTTCCCTCGGCTGGTTCCTCCTCTCCGACGTGAAGCTCTCTCTTTCCGAGATTCAGCTGGCGTTGACCCAGCACGCGCAGGACGAGATTCTCCTTCGGCGGCTTGCCAAGGCCGTCGCCCTGCACATGGCCAGGATGCTGAAGAAGACAGACCATACGAGAAACATCGGCAACGGCTTCCTCCGACCGCCCAGGAATACCACGTCTGCTGCCGCTGCTACTGACACGGACTTGGGTTTTGATCCCGAAATCCATGACCGCGACAGCAGCGGCAGCGGCGGAGGCAGTGGCAGCGGCGGCGGCGGCCGCGGAGGTGGAAGCCTCGCCAGCGGCTCGACGGTGTCCGGGAACGTATCACGAGGTCTACGATGGAGCAGCGGCAGCGGCGGCGATAGCTCGGGTATCATCCCACCGGTTTGTGCTTTCTTTCCATCATAGAAACGTCGCCTTGGTCTGCAGCCCACACCCCACGCCGTTCTGTTGTTTCCTCCTGAAAGTATTGACTCACTCTATGCACCCTCTGACTGAGACGGTTCTCGAGGCCAGAGGAGAGGGACGGAAGAGTTTTGGGACGGTTCTGAGCTTCGTTTTGGTATAATGGTGCTAATGCTCTTCGCGGGGATAGCCAGCGTTGGAAACTCGATCGCAGGGAGGCGCTACAGTATAGGATGCGCTCGTTAGGTGGCATCCACCAGCTTCGCACGGGTGCAACAACATGAACTAGAGCCAGGTCGGTCTCGACACCCAAGAGGTCTCTCCATTCTACTAGACCTTAATTGTTTGTACAGCCTTCAGTCCACAGAGGTCTCCGGACTGTACTCTCAAGAAGGTGGACCGTGGCCATAGTGGCGGCAGGGAATCACGATGGTGGCGTGCACGCCGCATCATTCACTGTGGCGGGTGTCCCCGAATTGATTTGTGAAACACATGCCGGGCACACAGAGTTCAATTTTCTGCAGCCATGGTGTCGACGTGTTACGCCCAGCAAATCGCCTGCCCTCACGCCACACGACCAAAGCTAACCGCACTATCGTCTTGAATTGTACTTCGTATACAGGAGCAGGAACACGAAGATGCTTCGAAGCAGGCGGGACTTGGAGGACCGAGCAACAACGCCGACCACAACTACAAGGTGAGTGCATGGATTCTCTGCTACAGCCAGAGGCGATATGTTGCCATCGAGACTTGATAATTTTTCATCGAGACGTGCACGACGTTGACCGAATGCGACACTTTTCTCTTTAAAAATCCTCGAAAATTGCGCGAGGCATACAATTTGCTTCTTGTTGGGGCAAGAAACAACTGCCTTATTTCCATGGAAGCAACACACATCTTATGGGGCTTGTTCGCCGCTTTCACACACAAGTCCCCAATTTCGTCTCCGTTATGCATTCTTCAGAAAATATTCCATTCTGTAGTGCTACTTTACGTTCACCCCGTTTCGCATCGATTTTACGTCGTCGTATACCGGAATCGCGTGCAGTGGATACTGCATGACGAGTCCAGCATGGACAGAATCGCCTCCATGGAAGGGATCGAGCTGTGCATGTCCAAGTGGGAAAGGCGGCACCCGGCGAGATTTCAGGTTACTTCTTCCTCCGTTCCGAGGGCAGCATTCAAAGTGCAGGTGTGCCATGTTTCCTACCACCGCTACCGAACAAACCATCGGATGTCACTCAGTATCATTTCTGTGCCCGCACGGGTTTCTCAAGCGTGCGCAACTGCTTGGCATGTCCTGTTGGGGGTAACATTCGTCTTCTAGGTGGCGGTTCAATTCAACCTGGCTGCAAGGAAAAGCAAAGCTCATGATTGCCATTTCCATGGGCATGGATTTGTGTTCAGCTCTCCGCCCCAAGAATTCCGTCACCGCAAGTTCCTTCCGAAGCAGGGGAACTATTTTACACTGCCAATTATTGAAACATGAACGGCTCACGCGCACACTCTTGTCGTTTACAAGTCCTTGTGAATTAGCAATGGGTGGTTGCAACCTTGATTCAACATTTAACAGGGGAATCCATTGATGTCTTTGTGAAAGAGACCTTGGAAATCCCTTCCACAAGCTTGCCCGACCAACGACCTTGCCACAAATCGTGTTAGTAATCGCACCTCCTCCTTCGTCGTTTTTCCGTCTCCCGATAGGCCGGGAGTAATCTTGACTCGAGTTGGTTGCCAGGCTTCGACCAGCGCTTCGAGGTTCAGCGTCTGGCGCAGGGGCAGCGAGTGGTCGGTGGTTCTTGCACCTGGTACACAAACTAAGGCCTGCCGCGTGTAACCCATACCAGGCCTTTTGCCGCTTGATAGGCTATCGGCAGGATACTTCTGGTTGGTTGCGAAGGACTGCTGCGGTTTCCTTTCCACACTTCACGCGCTAGGCCTTACGGATTCTCATAGCTTACAGTGGACGTCCGAAAGTCGAGCACAATGGGGCGTGCCTGCCATTCTCCCACGTATACCAGACGTCACGGTTTTCTGTTCTCGGCTTGCTTCTGGATGAATCAACCTGGGGTTACGCAAGGAGGAAGACTTCGCTTAAAAGTAGACTATCTCCTCTCTTTGTAGGCTTAAGGGAACGGGCCTCTTGGAAAGCGATGCATTCTAAAGGCCTCGTTGGAACGGGCCCTCAAGTGTCTCGTTGCGTGACCATCGTTAGGCGTATAGTCTACAGAACTTTGCCCCGTTCTACGAAAACGTTTGGGTAGGGCCTTATTTTTCCGTTATCAACCACTGAATCACTAAACGACAGTCAGCGAGACAGGTTGTGGCTTCAAGAGAAAATCTTGACATCATTTCCTCCCCTATGTACTGCTGTGCTGACCCTGTCGTTGCTCGGGAAGGATGGTACCATCCTTCTCCTTCTTCGACGTTGAAGTCGAAGTGTCGCACACAAGAAGTTCTATCCACTCGTAGGTCGGCCGTCACTCGAGACACAAACCCCGTTCTTGTGAAGCCACCGAGATTCAAGCAACATCGAAACGTCAGCACACATCGTGAACAATCCAACTTTTTGCTGGTGCAATCAGTGGTGTGTCTGCGAGAGTGCTGTTTTCGCCGTATCTATCTTGGGGCGGCCGTCGACACCATTCGCACGTGCTTCACGGAGTAGCCGTGGTCTAAGACGAGAAATATCGACGCGAGAGTTTTGTTTGCTTTCCACCTTTCCGTTTGCACTGCTTGACTTCAACAGTTTCGCAAGAAGAGTTGCGCTGTGTCCATCCTCTCGTTTGGTACGTACTCACGGCGACGGTGGCAAAGTCGACTACTATTGGGCGCCAATGTTTTCGGATTTACCGTCTACGAGAAACGGCATAAATACGCGTCCCTACGCATAGCGTTCAGTTACACACCACACGTTTTTTTCGTGCGGTCAATTTTACTCGTTCGAATCATCCTCTCCAACTGGTTGGCTTTCACCTCAACACAAGTGTACTCACAAATCATCCTGAAAGAAAGCCGGACTTCATAGCTCTCCATCCAGAACAAGGGCATCACCCCCTCGCATGCACACGAACCAGGGCGATCCGGGGGTTTCGGACACCAACCTCAAGTATAGCACATCACCCGGAGCCTGAGGTCCTGCTGGAAAATATCGCCTGCTACAACCTTCAACCTCTCATCCATGACACTGGCACAGAGGAGTAGCGCATTAAACCCGGATATCTTCTTCGAAAACTCCGGTTACAAGCGAACACCCACAAGACGTTTTACGGCCGACGTTGGACCTGAGCAGCATCGGATTGTGACGAAACTTGCTGTGTTGCTTTTAACGTCAACGCCTGCCCACTAAAGGGACGGTATACCGACTTCCACCGTCAAGCGTACCGTGAGCGCCATTCGGCATTCAAACAGAACTTAAACGATACGAGTTGAAGCTATGCCATGGAGGTGTGTCATTTCTTCTCGTCCCACGTGGTGTTGATAATTTGGGCAACGTGGAAGGCGTCGAGACAACGGCTGGGATTTGAGGTAGCCAACGTCAACGGGCCATCGGGTGAAACTTGAAGGCAAGAAGAGATGAGGGCGCCAAAAATCGAGTATTTGAGCCAATCGCGTTGCCTTTGCTTTGGGCTGCAATCGATGTGCAACACGAACGGAATCCCCAAACTTCCTGCAAAAGTCCAGGTTTTCAAATTTCCGCTTTTCAACCTTTGGGATTTGGTGGCGTAGAGTGGTCGTCGCACGATATCACGAGGAAGTTCGTCAAGCGACCGCATCGCGCAACCTCAAACCAAGCAACCAGTCCAGAGGGGCCACACCGCACTTGGACTTACATGTAGCGGAAGGGCAAATCAACGAGCAGGTCCCACCCGCGTTTTATTGACTTTAACATACCGTCCCATTCGTGAAGGATGTGTGTTACAAGACAACGGGCAGTCCTGCCAAAACGTGGACCTAAAGGTGAAAGCGTGTCCACTATTTGGACTACTGGCTATTTGGCGCAGAAAACCTTCTCGGTTAGCCTACAGACGAAATATTTCTAAGGTCCTGGAAGGAGATAGGTTTCAATCAGTACCACAAGACAATCTTCAATTTCCATGCGACAACTTGAATACCCACCAAGTTTCGAGGAGAAACCTGATGGGAGGGAACCAGCTCCATGCTGAAAACGCGAACAACCGGCACAAGAGAGGCCATCTGGACTTGAAAAAGATTTCGGCTGTCTCGTTGCTCGCTGCCCCCTGGAGTGCGTGGACGACATGCTTGCCTGTTTCACAGTCATGTTCATTTAGGAGAGATAATAAACTCCTGAGGTTGTCGTCCCTGCAGAAGTGTCCGTCCCTCACCACAAACTTCTATCACTCCCCCGTTGTCCACGTCGCCGCTGCTTGCTCTTCGTCGGCATTCTCGGCTGTGCGTTGCATCATGTTGATTTTTTTCCCCACCGACGGGAGTTCGTCCGAGTCTGGTTTTCTTCCATCAGGCCGGACACTGTGCTGTGATGTGCGTGGGGGACAATACATAATTTATGTGTACTGCCATTGCGCCCAAATCCACAAATCCACAAGTCCAAAGTCCAGAACAAAGTTGTTTTGGTTCTTATTACGAACCTCCTGCCTGCTCGGGACTCGGGACGCGGGCCAATTACCGGCCTGGAGACTTCCGTGTCTCTTTGTCTCGTCTTTGATCGGACCAAGAGGATTCTGAGCAAGTTACAGTAGTGTCGTGCAACCGATGTTGCAGCAGATGGTTGTTGAATCTCGCCCATGCGTTCTACTGGACATCGTCGAACCTTCGAGCCGATTCTCGAGCGTGCCAAACAGAGAGCGAAAGATGGCCGGGCCTGCGTCGGTTTCATGCACGCGGAGTTTCGCCGCACGTCGGCACGGAGTTCCGCCGCACCTCATCTCGCTTTGTGGCTCTCTACCCTCTTGTACCCTCCACCATTGGCCATCAGGTCAGTGACATGACAACTGTGGCAGTGGTATCGGATCACAATCGGCCCAGGCGATGGCGTCCGCCGCCTACCCTCCCGGCGACCCGCTGTGTATTCGACCTGATCGACACGACAACTCCGGCACTGGTCGTCAAGAGAAAGCCCTGCGTTTACCCGGGGGCAGCACGACACCGTGAAGCGCTGAGGTGAGACAGCGGAGGCGGTGTGATTCTCAGATCCTGCTGCCACTGCAGCACCAGATAACGTCCTTCCTTCTGGAGATGTTGTTGAGGGCCTTCAGCAACAAACTCTCGTCTGGTACCCCTGTATGCCGGAGAACGCCCGTGTCCACTTCCACATGGTGTTCGAGACTGGGTGATACGTTGGTCATTTGCTTACGAAGCATCATCTGGAGGGAACATTTGCTTCCGAAGCTGCGTCCGGAGGGAACACGACAGGATAGAACATGTCGGCACATTTCTTGTGCCTCCTCGACGCTTGTACGGCGTGCGCGTACGTCTCTCACCGCGTTGATACCATGGGTTGCATCAGCTATATTTGTTCACTATCCGAGAGTAGCACCAGTTGAGAGAGGTGCAGTAGAACAGCGTAAGAGATAGAGAGTGAATGACACACAAGAAGGCAGGCAGAGACAAAGACATAGAAGACTGCCACACCCCTACTGATGTATGCATTTGGTTACATCCCAACGCCCCTAGTTCTTCAACTCCCCCGTAGACGGCGACATGTAGCCACCTCGCCTGACCCTGCCAGCAATTTGTTTTCATTGGTGGTGGCCTACATGCAGCTCATATTTCCCTGCCCCGAACTTATATTGGTTATGCGTAGACGCGCGAAGGTGCTCACCGCAACGGATCCTACCACCTTGGACATCAGAAGTGGCGATTTCTATAAAGACTTTGCCGCAGAGAGCAGACTCGCTTGTCTCGAGAGCAAAAAGGTGCGCACCGAACATCATTCCAGACTGAACTACTGTAGAGGATAACCCACTTTTGAGCGCCAGATAACCTCGTGTCTGTGCTTGGAATGATCTCCGGGAAACTCCTTTAATTATACATGGTTCGGGGTGGGAAGAGCGTTTGCCATGCCAACGATGCATCTGGTACTCTCGACTGGTTGGACGAACGTCGACCCCTTTGTTGTCTGTTCCTCGCGATGTGATTCGGGTAGAGTTATCTCGACAAACTACTTCTCCAAAGGGGTTAACGGAGGCTACCAATAGCAGTCAACGGGTATCATTCTCTAGACGTAGTTGACGCTATAGCCTACCCTTTCCCTCGTGGAACTGAACAGGAAATCAGATCCTTCGATGAAGCGCGGGCGAAGGGAAGCGAAGGACAACCCTCTGGCGAACAGCGGCGGCAAGAGGTGGGTTATCCTTTACTTCCTCCATGAAAACAGACTGTTGTGCACCCCTGATGAACTAGCCTTTGTGGGGATGGAAATTCTGCAGCAGAGCAACCTACGAAGTAACCCCCACCAGAAACTTGTAACTACAGCTGCGGTTGACCCAGTGCGTACGAGCAGAATATCGTTACCGAAACAGAGTTTGTCCTGTCCACCAGGTGTGATTGAACTTTACTACCACTAAACTTGTATAGAACCTTTTGAATGCACATCGCAGAATGATTGCTCCCAATGTAAGGACCTCTACGAAGGTTCGGCCCACGCTACACAATGGTCGTGGATGTCGTGCCAGGAGCGTACTTGAACACGCACGCCACACCGGTCGCCCTATACGGTAATCTACCACTGCCAACTTGGTCTACACTTCTTTTTTCAGCCTACGCCGGAGGCTTGGAGCCCAGACGCTGCCAAGCTCTCCGAGGCAGCGATGACTGCGGCCTCTCAGCCTGGAGGGCTTGGAACGGGGCCCCGCGTAACCTTGTCGGACACCTACCGCAGCTTCCGGGTACTAAACCTCGCCGAGAGAAACATCACAACGGTGAGAGGAACTTGCTGCCTTCGCCGTACACGGCTTGGGGGGCCTTCCGTCAGCTCTGTGTCTTTCTGGTTCGGCTTCGATTCGCGGACCCTTTCAAACCTCGGGTACTATGTATCCGTTTATCATCGAAGTGAAACTGGGTTCGCGCCGTTACCGAGGGTCTAATGCTGACTGATCTGAACACCAGGCGCGTGGGCATCAACTGCGGCAACAAGAGGTAGGTGTGATGAGTGTCGCTGTAGCAAAGTTGAACAAACGCCCGGCACGGCAATCTCTTGCAGATCGACCCCGCCTTCGCGCACTTCGAAAACCTGACGGAGCTGGACTTGGGTCGAAACCGCCTCCGAAAGCTGGAAAACCTCCCGGAGGGACTCGTATCACTGTCGTGCGCAGCGAACGAGCTTTCCGGTGAGGACTACTCATGCGTGGTGGTGCAGGGCACAGGCAATGACGGCCGCAACGCGGTCGCGTTTTTTTGTTCCGAAATTCTCGCTGCGGTAACGAAACAAGCACTCCTCGTCGTTGAGGTTATTTTCAACCAACCGGATCTAGAGCGGACAGAGTTTAAGGCCGTGTTCGGGGTTTCCGAGAATAACCGCATAGGTTGCACTGCATCGTATGTTTGTTCTGTGAGAGACTACATACGTAGCAGGAAGCCAACCTTTCTTGTAAGTTGGTTGTGTCCTGCTTGCTATCTCGCTCGGTGAAAGTATGACGGAGTATGAGGTGGGCCCATGGCTGCACCTTGACATTTCCGTCGTTGGGGCGAGAGAGTTAGACCGAATCCGACCGCGTTTGGTATTTTTGTTGCCCGTTCCATTAGCCACGCGCACCGTTCAAGCTCTGGAGAAGCTGTCAATGTTGAATATATCGATTTTTTCGAATATATTCCGTATGATCTACACCCAAAACCACCACTAGGTCGCGCATTGGACGGCGTCACCGGACTGCCTCTCCTCTGCTCCTTAGACCTGTCCTTCAACAATCTAGAGGTGTATTCGCTCCTCCCGCCCCCGAAGGCCAACCTACCACGGCGGTGCCTCCCCAACGCCAGCGGCCACAACATCGGTGATCGACCAGCCCAACCAATCATTGACGGAGGCGACGGTGACGACGGCGTGCAGCGACAATTTCGCCGTCTCGAAGCACCGCCCCCGCTCGCAACGGGAGAAAAGTATATGCACTTCCAAGAGAAGTTCTCTTCCTTGGAGCACCTGGATATTTCGTGGAACTGCCTTTGCGACCTGGACCGGCTCCTCCACACCTTGATGCAAGTGCCGTGGTGCATAGAGAGTCGTCTTCGTGTAATGCTGGTCGTGTTATCGTCAGCCCTACTCTTGGGCACCATGAAAATATATTTCGATATCTCCCAATACGTTTTCTTCGGTGGAACACGTTAATCCGGTAATACATTGGGAGATGATTACAGCAAAAACCCGACCAAATGGGGGGGGGGGGGTGGAGACGGAGAATCACAACATGGCCACCATTGACTCCCAAAGAACGAAAACACAGAACGCTGCCTGCCCTCATCCCTGCCTGTCGCGTGCTGATGTGAACAGCCGGTGGCCATCGTGTTCGCGTCTGACCAGGTCGGGAAAACCCGCAGTCATTACCCTCCCTCCGCCTTCGCCCCCACTTCGCCGTCGTCTTTTCGCCACAGACCGCTGCAAGATAACCTTCGGCACCTCTTCCTAGCGGGAAACCCGTTCTGCCTCCTCCCGGCCTATCGCGAGAGGGTCTTGGGTCGAGGGTTCGGGCCTGGTTTGGTTGTGCTGGATGATCTACCTGTCAGCCCAGTCGAGTACCGCTCCGCCGCAGCAACTGTGGCTGCCGTGGAAAAGGCTCAGGAGTGTTGCTTAGACGGCGGACGTGAGAATGAAGATGAAGACCACAACAAACGTCCGCGGGGTAAAGGCTCTTTCGAGGCGGTGCACTTCCATGTGAAGGTATACTCATGTTTCTTTGCTTCCTCCCATGGTTCTTGAGGGTTGCATGTTGCAGAGAATCGCTGGTCGGTTCGGGCTATGCGGGCAGGGGCACGATGCGGGAAGGCTCCCTGACGCCGACATGGGGGCAAATAGTCCGCGACACGACGCGCATGTGGTAGGAGCATGCCTGTTTCACACCCAAACTACGGTTTCCCACGACCAACAAATGTCATCGTCACCAATTCATTGATTTCGCCGCTGCCAACCCCCTCACATGATGTTTCGACCGCACACACACCATGCTTGACCCGCCTGGATCCTCCTGTCCATCACCCTCCCTCCCCACCAAAACACGCACTCGGTGCTGATTTTTGCAACCACAACGTGTTCGTGGTGTACTGTTGAACGATCGCTGCGCGCACTAGCTGCTGCGGTTATCAGGCCTTCCGGACCTCGGCACCACTACTCCCGAACGCACCCGATCCACGGACAGCGCCGCCGTTGCTGCAACGCCTCCTGCCGCGGGTACAGGGAAGGCAGGAACGGTCCGGGGGGAGACGGCCGGTAACAGCGAGGAAAGAGGGGACGAGGAGGAACCACCGCTCCCGCAGCAGTGGGGGGACGTTGAGGTGGGAATGAATGATCGGCCCCTTTTGAGAAAGCCGGAACGGTTCCCGGTGTCAACCCGGAAGTTAGGCAATCCGCCTCCTCCGAGAAAGGGAGACCTTCCACGATGTGTTTCGAGGCATGTTGGCCACGAGTATGCTAATGTTTCGGGGAGAACGTTGGAGTATTCCTCGAGCCCTCTTCTTCCCAGCCTCAGGGACAATTCTACAAATAGTTTCACGTTCTATTTGTGGCTCCCCCCACATGTGTAGGCGCGTCTCCGAGCGAAGCCCGTGTTGTTGTGTTCAACCACGATCCGGTTCATGTTTCAGCCCTGACGTGCGCGCGCTTACTCTTTGTTCCGTCCGCAAGGCCGTACGCGATGCTGCCGTAACTAGAAGCGGCGGCCGTCGTGCTGCTGCCATACTCCTAGCCGCTGCTGCCATACTCCTAGTCGCTGTTGCCTTGGTGGCAGTGATGAAATCGTTGCTGCTGGTGCGTCCTGGGCTCGAGCCGAACACGAGATGGGCTCAGTGAAAGTAGCCAAACCCGCACGCTAACCAGGAAAATGTGATTGATGGGCCGGATGACTTACTGTCGAATGGGGAAACACATCTCACCGTGTGTGTGTCTCGGTCTCTCGCTGTCTCCGCCCCTCTCTGGATTTGTTTCAGTTCCTCGTCCCAGGCAACAACCACAACAGCGACAACCACGACAGCCCTACGAGAACGGGATGGTTCTCCTGGGCTTCCGAGGTCGTCCCTCCTCCGACTGAAACCCCCGACGCCGACAACAATGACGGAGGGTCCGAGCAACCACAAACCGAGCAAGAGACGGTCGATTCCACCGCTCCAGACTTTGGGAATGGTGGCACGCCTTGGGAAGTGTCCGTCGCACTTCCTCCTTCTAGGGAGATGCGGGACGATGTGCGATTCCATGGGTTGTGCGTCCTACTTTTCGTCGGGGACGACGAGCGCGAGGCAGAGGTAAGAGTGCTATAGAGTCTTGGCGACGCTGTTGTTGGTTTGTTTGATTGATGATTATACGTTATCGTTTTTTTGGCATTGGTGTTCATGTTCGGTATGTGCTGCTCTGCAAAACACATCGCCGAAGGCGCACAGTCCCGTGTCCTCGCGGCGATCGTGCTGATATCCGCGTCGAGGAGGATCCTACGCTCGACTGATGCTCATATCTTCAAAACGGATAACCACGCCAACCACCCGTCCACGACTGTCGTGCACCAAAACATGGTTAAACCATTAATCTTCTGTGTCCGTCCGAAGAGGCCAAAAATGGCAGCAAGGTAAAGACTCGGATGTTTCCCGTCCCTCCGGGTGTTCTTCGCCTGCTTTTGGGCGCTGAGCAGAAGAATCCGTCTGCGCTCAGACGTCCGTCCACCAACTCATCGTCAACTCATGGTGTGCCGGCATGTTTGATTTGTTTCCTCTAGACCTATATAGAATTGCAGTGTCTGAGCTGCAATGTCTGAGTGCGAAAAGCAATAAACTCCCCGTTTCTTACGTTTTTCAAACGTGTCGCGAACACGTGCTTCGGGTCCAGGGAAAGGAGGAAACAGTCGAGGGAGACGCGTCACCACCGGCAAAAACAACAGAAGCGGTTAATAACGGGGAATTCGTTGGAGTTGTTGACGGTTTCAACTCAACGGACGAACCAACGCACCCCCCGGGAGGCGAAGGGCATGTCGAAGGCAAGCAAGGGCAGTGCGGCAGAATTTGGGGATTGGGTCAAAATCTTTGCGCGACATAATCAGGCTGCGAAGGAATACGTAAGAAGGATTTGATTTTTCGCTGTTGAAATCATTGCGGATGTTGTGGTTTATAGCAAGCAAGAGTTTTTCGCCACTTATTTCCCCCCCCCATGACGAAGATTTCCAATGTTGAAACGACTAGGTAGCACCCATTTCACATCTCCCTGCATGTCTTCCATCTGGTTGGTGCTAAAGGAGAGGCACAAGACCAGGAAAGAGTGAGGTCACAGATACTGCCGTCTCGGCGGCGACGGCTCGCGGGACGCGGGCACCTTTCCCTGTCCGATTTCTTGGACCCCGCCTGGATGATGAAGGAGCAGCAGCAGCCCCAGCCCCAGGAACGGCAACAGGGAAGGGGTGAAGACGTGAAGGGAACGGAAGCGGTGGTGACAGCAGGTTTGTTGCCCGTCGCATGGTCAACACGGAGGGCCTCACATATATTGGACAAATGTTCAGCGAAGGCTATGGGTTTGCTGACCTAAACACAATCGTCGACCGTGGTCAGAGCTTGTTATTGGTGGTTAGGGTATTTCTCTAGTGTTTCCTCGTCCGGAAAGTAGCAGGGGCGGTAGGACTACTGGATTCAGTGGAAGCACGAAACGGTTGTGCGGGACTGAGCGTGCTAGCCCACATACACTTCACCGTCGTGTATCTCGCCGAAAAACCACATACTTTCAAATAACCGAAGACGGGGAGGCCGGCGGAAAGACTGGAGCACCAGCAGGAATGAGGACCTTGTTTGGTGTCAACGGTGGAGACGCCGCCCCAGCCAAGATATCGGGAGAGTGCAACGTTGTGCTCGAGCCATGGGTGGTGGAAACGATGCGAGAAGGTATGTGTGCTTGTTCCGTACCGGTACGGCTGATAGAAGGTGCTGGGCAGAGGTAAGAGCGGTCTTCTTCGTGAGAAATCCAACAACAACAACAACAACAACAACAACAACAACGACCACGACAATAAGGCCACGCAACATAGTGGACTACACGGTCGCGGAGGAAAATAAACGGCTGGATCCTTCTCGCCAAACAAGCTCATAAATATCGCGGGGACCGACCCTTGTTGCATCAATCCCGCTTCTGTGAAGGTGTCGCCCGTCGGAAGAGGGAACGGCTGGAGAGAAAAGAAGCGGCACGGGCGGAGGCCGAGGCGAATGCTGCCAATGACCCCAAAGGAAAGAACGCCAAAGCGGCTGCTGCTGCGGCGGCTGCAGCGAAACTTCAAGAAGGAGACGACGAGGAGGAGGAGGAGGAGGAAGAGGAAATCGGGCCTTCCCCTTCCGCTAGAGCGGAGGTATGGAACGTAGTGGTTCGGGGTGTTCATACAACTTGGGAAACGTTTGCTACTGTCAAGGAAGGGGCGTAGGATTAGACGAACCCCATGGGCATCCCGCAACGATGCGTCGATCCAGTGGTCTGTCGTACAATCTATCATGGGTGGCATCGAGAATGGGTGTGGCGAGAAAATCGTGAGATCCACGGATGAAAAATAGTTGTCATCAACCTATCCTTGCCCGGTCGGTCAGAGATCCACATAGGACCGTTGTTTGTTATCACGGGATCAATGGCAGCGTCAATCTAGAAGAGGGAACCGCCGGTGCAGTCTACTGGACCTGCCCCATCTCGTCTGATGTTCATCTCTGGACCCGAATTACCACCACCTATGTATTTGCAGGTGGAAGTGACGCTTAACTCGGGCATGGCTTCGCTAGCGGTCGCCACCATCGGTCCGACTGCTGCTGTTCCTGCTGCAGCCGATGCCTGGTGAAAGCTGCATGTAGTTGGGCCCTTCTGTCGAGTGCGTGCATGCCCCAACCAAGGAATCAAGAAACCTTGGACAAACCAACGCTGTTCATCGGTAGTGGCGGGAAGGTGATACTGAATGTCTGTATGTAAGGAGAAAAAATTAGGGGACCGGTACACGAATGGTCCACGACAAATAACAAGTTCATAGGTTCGCGGACTAGGTTGGGATGTCCGTGGACGCCTGCGGACGTGTCCACCGCCCCCGTCCGCGAACGCGATCTTGAGACTTTGCCGGTTTGCTTTTGTGTAGACCGCCTTGGGACGCTTCGTGACAAAGCAGAGCACCGTGTTGCCATAACCTGAATCCTGACCTCGCCGTTTATCAGATGGCCGTGTGGTGGATGTAGAAGTGTTGGGGTTCAACTGTAGTTGATGCACACGGGGACTCATTTTTCTTGGCATCGTTGAGTACTGAAGTTTAGTGTACGGGGTGAGCTTCAGCTTCGTCGCATTTGGATTGGTACATCGCGTAGACACAAGTACCACGAGAGAGTCTCTAGATCCAGCAACACTGATGAGGGGGGCCAGCCAATCCCTAACCCGAAGTATGTTGCATACCTGGTAAGCGCAACAGGGCATGACTCTGGATTGGAATCACCCCGCGTGGTGCAAGTTGTTGTTCAATTTTGCATCAAATCCTGCTGAAATCGCAGTTGTTTTGCCTGGATGCGTATGAAAAACGTGTTGATCACCCACTGGAGGTACTGGAAAACATGTCGCTCGGCGTCCGTTGAGGCCAATTGACATCACGTAGGTAGATGTTCGGTCATCATGAACATATCACATATTGGAGTCCTGTAGGTCCAATCAGTACGCATCCATCTCGACTGCGTTGTCTACGGGCTACATGTAGACGCCAACATTCACGAGCAGGTGCCCTTCGCTCGAGGAGGTGTCGTCGTCACTTCGTCGTTTGGGAGCAAAATGCCTAGACACAGTACCTCACAAAGGCACGAAGTCTTCCAGTACACCCATATCTACGGGTTATTTTTCTACGATTGCTGCAGATGTTTTCAACACAGCGCTTCAGCAAACACGATGCTGAACCGATGAGTACGCCTGCCTGTATTGGTTCAGCTTGAGGCTGCCGCCAATAGCGAATATTCCCTTCCAAGATGGTCCAGACAAAATGTGGGCAAGTCGCGGGTGTACATACAGCACGGTATTTCGGAATAGACCTGTCGGTGCGTACGATCGCCGTATCTTCAATAAACTACAGTACACAAATGCATGTCCGAACAACTTGATACATCGCAATCCCCGGAACAACACGAGCGTGAGATATCGGCCACACAGCAACAACGGCGTGACTCCGTGGCTCCTCTCAGTCTTGCGTACGGCTCATCCTTCGTACATTTCCGCCCCTCTCGAACTCGTTGCTCTCCGAGAGAGTGAAATGCCGCTTAGCCTGTTGAACAAGGTCGCCCTTCGCTCAACTGGCCCCATAGCTTGCAGAAACATCGATCGATTCCTTACCCGGAAAACCCGTGACCACTCTCCAGTGCGGAAAAAGACAACTGGACCAGCTCCGTACACCAAGTTGTGTCAATATCTCCACGAACGCAACAGGAAAACGGCACGTTGCAGCATGAACGAAGACGACCTTTCGTTCGGATGGAATCGAGCTCAAGCGGTTAGCGACAACGGCGCTTCTCGGGACAACCGTCGTAGCCGCTGCTGCGGCACCACTTCCGAGGCCGGGTGGAACACTCCTCTCCCTCCTCACACGCGGCCGGGCTGTCGCAGGTGTCGGAGCAGTAGTACTTGCCGTTTCTGGCATACTGGAGGCACTCCTGAAAGGGTGATATCGCACACAAGATGTTTGGCACGTTCAAGTGCGCGATCGGAAGCAGTCGGACCAGACGCTATCATCGCGAAAGTGAATAGGACCAGGCACGTTTTGCCCTCTGCCTCCAAAGTAATGCTGCCTCAGGAAGATGGAAGCAACGCGGGCCGACGTTGCCCGCACCGCGCAAAGGAGCACGCGCGTGTCTTAATCGATTAATTGTGTCGTGATTCAACAATCAGCGGACTCTGCCGTCCAGATGACAATAAATAGCTCGCCACTGCCGGCGCGAAAATAGACCTTGTCGGTGCGTGAGGAGTGAACGGTATCGATATGAAAAGACGTTGAGCGGTCGCCTGTCACTGGTGATGAGCAGGCGGAATCAAGTTCCGATACATGAATTCCCCAAATAACCTTCGGATGACGGTCCTATTGAACACCCACGGGTCTATCCCGACTTTTCTTCCTAACTATTGAGGATATGTGGGATGTCACTTCTGTAGAGCCCTTTGCATAGGCGTAGCTATGGTCAACTTGCAATATATGTGGAATCCACCACTGCTTTTTCCGTCTTCCTTCGCGACAGCACACGGCCTCTCCTCAAACAGCCGTGGTTGCGACGGGACGCCCCCCGCCGCAAAACAATTAACCACTGGAGCACCAAACGTAACCATGAGAACCGTGTGGTTTGTGTTCATCTGTTCTTCCTCAACCGCGACGGGCGAAAAAAGGAAAAACAACGAACCTGAGTGTCATCACAGGCTCCATCGCAGTTTTCGGTCGCTTCGCAAGATGCCACGGGCGGGCACGGTGCGCGGATGCACGCAACCTCGGTCAGAACGCACGTCTCGTTGTCCGCACACCGGTCCGGGTCGTCGCAGGTGTCCGCGCAGTAGTACTCCGATTCCAGTCCGTCTTCGTACAGCAGGCATTCCTGTAGCGTCGGTCGGGTCCACTAAAGGTTACGGGCTAGGTCTTGCAGGAGTTCATGCGTGGCGGTGTTGCGAAAAACGCCGTCTGTTTTTACGTCTCGGTGAACTTTCAAGAATGTCACAGGGGCCGTTTGGTTGGATTTCCGAGGACTATGCAACGATGGAGCGAAATTCGAACTACAGCAGTCGTTTCGGGCGCCTGTGCAGCCGAGCATGCATGCATCGCAGGGAGAACCGGCGCCAAGATTGTCACCAAAGCGTACATCGTCGAGCTTCAGTTTGCACGGTCAAAACCAAAGGACGCCGTCCTCCGCAGTTTGTTCCCGAATATTGGTACACACGTACGCGCAAGGGCAAGGAAGACCACTCTCGCGCCGACGGCGCGGTGTCAGGTACAACGGCAACATCAACACGAAATGTACATGCATCGCCGACACGTTCTACACATGAAGGTTAGAGCGCGAACCTAGCGATTGGTCCCCCGGGTGCATGCACATAGGAGAGTGAGACTCCAGGATGGAACCAAAAACGGCGTGCCTTGCCCCGCCATATGGATATATGCGCCCAACGCGCATCATCTCGGTCACACATCTACAGACACAGGCATTTGTCAATCCCGGCAGGATGATCACATACCTGAAACTCGCCGCACGATACGTCACATTCACCGCACCCGGCTTCCAGGTCGGCCTTCTCGTCATCCGGGACATCGCTCCAGACCCGCGCCAGATCGCACAGGCCCACCGTCAGCTGGCCGGCCGTGCCGCCGCCGGTAGAATCGAACGGGTCGTCCCCGGCCGGGTAGAGGCCAAGGAGGTACTCCTCTCCGATGGTGAGGTCGACGCCGCAGATGGCGCTGTTGCCTCCGGTGACAAAGCTGATCTCGTCTTGGCCGTCGACGTCACCGCTGTAGACAGCGTTCACCTGGACGGTGAAGGTGACGTCTTCGTTGATGTCCGTCTGCGCAGACCTGAAGGTGTGGAAGCAGACGGCGAATTGATTTTGTTGGTCTGGTAAAATCCCTTTACGTGGATCAAGAAAAATGCCGTAAACGCTTTTGGCGATACGTTTATGGGCGGCCTGAAGCAGGTGAACGCGGAGAACGCCGGAAGTATTCATGAGAGAACACGGGTAAAAACTACTTACACCTTTGTGGAGGTCAGGATATCGAATAATCAGGACGAACAGACACACGTAATTTTTTAAGGGCTCTGTGAAATGCGTGATAATTGATCACGGCCAAGGATCTATTGTAAACGCCACTGATTCCCAACAACTGCGAAGGGCCAACGAATTCAGGCTGGGAAAAGTAGTCCACGAACATTCGCCCAACACTCTGCACCACCCTAGCTTGACTGAGTTCGCTCGGTCCCGCTTGGCATTCCTTGCCAAATTGCACCAAGGAAATAACCACCACAGTCCGGACTCCGCGCTCACCCAGAGTTGAGGGTACTGGGGTAACTCTTTTGTAGTAAAATGACTTGGACTTGACGTATAACTTAAGGTCGGTTACTGGTTTGACCTGGAATAACTACTTCGGAGAGTAAACTATTCTATGTAGCATCATCGGTGTTGAGACATACGAAGTACTCGGCGGCAGCGCTACAGAGATTCCAATCGTACATAGGGATGGGTAAGACAGAGACGCGATGCGTCCACGCAATGACAGTGAGTGGTACGCAACGCAACTTGTTGGTATGCATAGACTATATTTTCCAGAAGGAAGTGGATCCTGGGCCAAAACGAACCTGTGAGAGAGCGGCTAAAGCTAAATCAAACTTAAGAAGCAAATGCGGGTGAACAATGTACTGACGGCTGTGTGGTCGCAAGCTGCTTCTGGTGTGTGTTCGGCGCTGTCCCAGAAGTTCATGCGCGGGACCTTGAACCAAAACCCCTGCAGTGCTACAGCAATATAATATGTCCACGGACAAAGGGTCATCACATACATGTCGTGTGTAGGTCGGAGAGAACGACACAGACACAGGAGGAAGTATTGGGTACGGGTAGGCACGTGCGAACGGAAGAAAATAGCAAGGGTAAACAATTTGATTGATGAGTACAAGCGACAACACAGCGGCAAAGCCCAGAGAGAACCGGGGCGTCCGCATCCCGGCGTCCTGTAGAAGACGTTCGTTCGCAGGACTACACAAATATATAAGCTGCACCGTTTCTTCATATGTTTGCTAGTCACCGCGTCTGCGGTCACATTTCCCGTGACGAGCTGGGCGTTGCGGTACACAAGAGTGCCGCGTGCGGTATACCCTCAGTCGAGATATGTACGAAACATTTTTTCTGAGTTTGCGGTCGCAACACACACGCTCACGCAGGAGGCAACGGCCAGCCCTGCACTACGTTGCGACGAAACAATACTCATGTATACCCGAAGAGCTTGGAAGAGCTACAGTAGTCGATACTATTATACTGCTGTAGCGTCCCTTTCTCACTTGGACAGCGCGGTGCCTCGGAAGACCACAGTTGTGGTCGTGAAGATCCCCTGGGCATATTCGCAGGGCGTGATGTACTGGGCGAGGCATGTGCACGCGGAGGCGTGGAAGGCTTGGTTGAGCAACAGAAGGGCGTACCCGAGCGCTGCGAAAGCTGTGTGTGTCGTGCTAGGGGCCATGATGGCGGTCGCTCCACCGGCGTACTGGGTGCTGTATGTGTTGTAGGTGAATTGTGGGTACGTATGGCGCCAGGCAAGCCGCTGGCTCTCTGGGAAAAAAGGCCAGCAAAAAATAATTCCCCCGTCCGTTGACGATTGATTTCCGGTGGGCCAACAAAAACTACCTGTACATATGTACAGCGCCGACCAATGCAAAGAAAAAAAAGGACCTGTATCGAAGTATGTCGCATCATGGCGTGCCTTGAGGTCGCTGAAAACACGGCTCCCTACATTCATACGCTGATACTCCGTAACCGCACCGATTATTTTTCTCGGCAGAGAGAGGCGTCAGCCGTGACGACGCGTCCTTCTGACGCGTAACCTACAGAAATACTGTAGTACTCCCGCAATAAACTTTCATACAACAATGCGGGCGGGTGTCGTGGACCCTTGCAATGAATGATCGTTTTTTTATCATTCGTTGCTTGCTTGATGTGTGAAGAGATCTGGTATCACCGCATCGTACAGCAGTTCCAATGAGGTCCGATAGTCCTCTCCCCGATGCGAAAGAAAGAAGACGCGCACGCCAAATAGAAGTACATGTGCAATGTAGTATTTACCCGATTCGCAGGGTATCCGTCGATTGACGTTTATTTACCAGAATCGGTTTTCATTCTGTGATGTGAACGGGCCAACTAACAACTACCTACGTAGGTGGATCCGCTGCCTCTGCATTCAATTCGCCGCAGCGCATGTTATTAAACGGTTTCGGTCGATTCATTCCATTATGGGTGGCTGTGCTGTATGTTGCAGAAAGTCGTGATGAACGTTGTACATACACTGCACAGGCCCAAGTAGTGTGTGGATGAGGTTCGTCAACCGTTCACAACGAGTTCTACTGAGTGAAATTGTTCCTGGAAAAAGAACAATGTTGACTACAATGTATGTATGTATGATTCATTCGAAGACAGACATGAAATTTGACCGATGCAACACGTGTGGTCTGTACTGCTGTCTACGACTCTTGCCGTAGGGCCGTGAGGTGCCTCATAGTGTACTCGCATATACGCTTGGGGTTCTATGCCCGTCCACGAATAGTGGCACCAAGAGGAAAAGTATTTAGACCATCGCGAACCTGCTTGTAAGAGAGGACGACCGACGACCGATGATATACCTGAACAAAGTTGGGATCGAAAAACGGAGCGAACATAGAGAACCGTGGGAGATCAAAGACGAATACTACACGCTCCCTCTCCCATTGACTCAGATCGGGTCGCCCAATGAAAAATCTTTACGTAGAGTGTCATGAGGTGGCATCAAGTTCAACCCTGCCCTGTGGTCACCATTGCACCAGGCTCGAAACAACGTGCACTACAACGAAAGGCGTTCTCCGTATGCAAACGAGTAGTCGACCGTTGACCGCACAGACAGACGTGTGTTTCGGGACCGGCGCATCCGGGGTTTAGATATATGTTTCTGTGTGCTGCCGCCTTGCTCTCCGGGCTAGCAAAGAGATAGTACCTAGCGTCATCTCAAGAGCAGCCAACACCCAACACGACGCTTGCAAAGGTTGAGGGCTCGAAGGGGGGCCCCTTTTCCGAGAGTGGGAGGTAGTTGGTCAATCACCGTGTACAAGCAGAGGTCAGGCCTTGCTTGTTTCTGCGCCACCAGCTGCTGGCACATCGAGCGACTTCGCGATAACCACCCTTTCGCACGCGTTCCGCTTGCGAAACTAGCCGTCGTCAGCCGGGTGAGGAAGCCGAGAGCAGCGCGGGAGGAGATACCTTCAAAACACAACACACCTGAATCAACAGCACCGTGGCCTACAGAGAAGGATGGTCGTGCGCATACGTGAGCCCCATTTCTGCACTAGGTGATGCGCCAAGAGTCGCCGTGTCCCGCTTATCCCAGGTACTAGAGGACGGCTCGGATCGCGGCAAAATGCCGCCGCCACCGCCCACGGTGTGCTGAATTTCTCTCGAATAAATTACTTCAAGAATGTTTTCCCCCTTCCATTACTCGGCGGACAACGCCGTTCCCGGCGGCCATGCGTTGCGTCAACAATAACTCTGCTTTACACATGTGTACCGTTCTTGTCATGATGTTTTGTTGTCTTTACACAAAAAACCGTCTCGGGCTCATCATGCCCGGCACACGTGCCATACGAAAAATATTTGACAGCCCCAGCAGCCATGGCGTTGTCAGCACTCAACAACCGTCGTCGTCCTGACCGCCGCCATCGGAAAAACATCCCAGAGTATTTAGCGTGAGCATCTCGCCCCCTCTTGCGCCCCCCTGCCCCACGACACCAAGCAGAGCAGTGCTTCTCTTGCGTGCCCTCATGTCGTGCCCACCCGGCCATGACCATGCAACACGCACGCAGAGACCATGATTCCTATTCATACACTCGAGCACAAAAAAATGTACTTCGTAGATATCACTTTCTCTCTTCAGAATGCAGGGACCAATGGGACACATCCGAATGATCCTTGCAGTTCCGAAGAGAGTGGCATGTGCTGCGAAATCTTCGCCACCGCCGCCACAGCAGCCACGAACGATCGGCGACATGCACCAGCACGTTCATGTCCTGCAGCAGATAGATCCCTAGGCTGGGATAGGCTTTCCGTACTGCTTCTTGAGCCTTTGGAACAAGATGTCCTCACGTCCCTTGTACCGAGCCAGGGCGTCTTCCACGGTGCTAAGCTTTTCAGGATTGTGCTGTGGACGGGGGCGAGGGGCACGAGGGTAGGATTGCTTTAAAGAAAGTTCTTAATAAAAAAAATATGGTGTGTACGAGGGCAAGGGGCTCGGGGGCTGTAACAAGTACTTCATTTAAGTAGTAGTGTTTCCCATCACTTTGAATCAGTGCACACCGCGTACAGTAAGTACCCTGGCCTCCAAAAAAAAAAAAAATAGCACCCTGAACAAATTTTGAAACCTACATATTGTCCTGCCGGGTACGCACTGTAGGAGCTCAAATCCGTGGTCACAGAGAAAAAAAGGGTTCCTCCGGGGGAAGCAAAGCGAGGAACTACGAAATGAAACGCGGCATCATGACATGAATCGCAGTCATCACCGCCGTCCTTCACGTATGACAGTTAGGGTTGCGTGTCACATCAAGCGGCCGTGTTGCAAGCGAAGGACGTTTTTCCAAACGAACAAAAGGAGGGTGCGCTTGCTGGACTGCATACGCAAAGAAAAGACTTTTAAGAAAAGTGACTAGGAGGGCGCACGCACACCCAACCCTAACCCTTCCCGAAAACTTCGCCGATTCTATACTTTATCCAGTATATTTTCTGACTGAGATAAAAACCTGCGTAGACTACTGCTCGCCTGTTCGTAGAAGTTAGTCAGGCGGATCCGAGCCGACGCTTGACGCCTCTCCCCCGCGTGCTCCAGGCGGTAGAGCAACCAGTAACCTCCGCCAAAGAGGCCAAACACAATCGAGATGATCTGCGTCGTTCGTTCGGGATCAAGACGTTGAGCGAGAAAGGGGTCAGTAGCAGTCTGGTACATGGCCCACATCTCGCGCGCCGCGGTGTGCAGACGGGGTGATTCGTGACGGACAACGCCATCAACCTCGATGCCGCTATCGATAACAACAAACAACGTCCGAACGAAGCCGAGACAGATAGCACGGAGGACTACAATAACGACGTTCATTCTCGGGAAGGGGGTGAGTCACATTCTCCGTTCACCGACCACGGGCAAATAAAGCTAACGCGCGGCGGCTAAGGGAGAGAGGCAACACACGACCCAGCGACAGGACGAGCACAAAAAACACGAGGCGGCAGGCAGGCAGGCAGGCAGGCAGGCAGGCAGGCAGGCAGGCAGGCAGGCAGGCGCGCGCGAGCGCGCGCACCACGCACCAAAGCCTGGTTGAGCAGCCGTCTCAGCGACCCCGGGCCGCCCGCCTTCTTCGGCAGCACCGAGCTCTCGACCTCGTTCACGCAGATGCCGCACTCGTCCAGGGAGAAGAGCGTCGTCACCTCCTCCGCAAGCACGGGGTAGCCCCTACGTATCGCGAGGTGAAGCACGCACAAACAAGAAATGGACCACCACCCCAGGGGAGACAATGCAACAGCGAATTAATGCAGGTGCCGCGTGCGAATCGAAAATATTCAAGTGTGAATATCTTCATTTTCTCTCCGCACAGACGGGATGCCAAGAAGTAGGCGAACGCTATCGTGGAGGGGGGGTGATGATGACGGGGCCCCATATCGTTCACCAAAAAATGGTGCAATCATGGGAAAAAAAAAAAACAGTGGTTATCCCGCCTGCGAGGTCAAGGTACGACCAAAATCCAAAACACCAATTAGTCGCATACATCACACACCACCACACACATTACGTAGTGGCATTGGAAAACAATTCCCATGTATACATGTCGCAAAACCGCCAGCCCCTACACATGGACACACAGCAAAAAAAAAAAAAACTCACCGGTCGTCCTGCATCGCGAGCGGATTTCCGAGCCTCTGCACCGTCACCCACGTTCCCCCCGATGATGCGGACCCCCTTTCCCCGGACTTGTCCCCCTCCATCCACTCCACAATCTCCAGGTCCACGGCAAGGCCGGAGGACCCGGCGCTTTTTCGGCTGAACTGCCGGGTGATCGACGAGGGGACGCGGCTGCCCGTGGGGAACAGCTCCACAGCCTCGGCACCCTTGCAGCAGAGATACAGCAGTACACACGACACATAGTGCGACGGAGTGGCGTTGGTGTTCGGCAACATAGGGGTGGGGAACAGCAGCGACCTCTCACCACCGGCATTTGGCGGCCTACAGGACTTCCGCATGTTTCGGTCAAAAAACACCAATGCTTGATACTCGAGGAGCAACATCATTGCTACGGGTTCTTTTGCAGATCGGTGGCATTTTCAAGGCGTCAGCAAGAGCCTCCACTGCCGGGGGTGACGGGGAGGTGACGACGGGGGGGGGGGTGTAGGACGTAGGAGTGCCGCAAACGGCGGCATTGAGGAGGAAGGCAAACAAGAATAATGTACCCGTCTTTGGTGCCCGGGACGAGGCGAAATATGCCTTCCGCGAAAATCGACCGCCCTGAGTGCCCAAAGGCAAAAACCAAACGCGCACATAATTTTTGGCAGCGGCAACGAGACTGGCGCACTTTCAAGGGGTCGGCCGGCTATTGCGGCTGGACGCCAATACAAACGAACTCGCAGCACCTTCTTGCTGCGATCGACGAGCCCCAGCTTGTGCGACAGAGCGTCGTGTCCTGTCACCTGCCGTCACCGATGTTGCCGTGGTTTGTTGTTAGTCGTTCGGCCGTCGCAAAAAAGAAAAAACAGTCCGAGGACGCAAGGATCGTGTATTGGGCTTCGAAGGAAGGCGGCAAGGACGAGCGAGAGGCGACCAATGGAAAACATTTAATACGCTCATGTTTCACTCAAAGATTAGATAGACACCAAGCGTGACACTGCAAAACATCTCCCGTTGTGTCTTGAGTGCGTCCGAAACCACAGGGTGCGCTTGCCGTCGGCTCTCTCCGACATCAACCTCGCCAAGAACCAACAAACGCAAGGGCGCCAACAACGTTTGCCCTCGAGACGGCAGGAGGCTCTTCCTCACCGGGAGGGCGTTGAGCAGCCCCCTCGAACCGGCCAACAGAAGCGCGGCCCCCTTGGCGCAGTCCCCGACACCCGGGTGCTCGATCTGCGCGTCTAGGAACATCTTCACAACCTCCTCCAGCAGCGCTGGCGTCTTTGCGCAACTCCCGTACAGCACCACCGTCTTCACCTGTTGGTTATCATTTTGGTTATCATGTTGGTTATCATGTTGGTTATCATGTTCGTTATCATGTTGGTTATGGTGTTGGTTATGATGTTGGTTATCATGTTGGTTATGGTGTTGGTTATGCTGTTGGTTATGGTGTTGGTTATGGTGTTGGTTATGCTGTTGGTTATGATGTTGGTTATGCTGTT